AAAAAAAAACTGTTTCCAACATGTGAACAACCAGAGTCTGAAATCATGTGTTTCCTCATCCTAGAAATGGAGAGTAACTAGGGGCAAACTAACTCATTCACCATTTTCTTCCTATCATGCATAGCATATAAAATGTTGATTCCATCAATCAATGCAAAACCACACCTTTGTCCGGTTAACTATTGCTGAATGATGTATCAATTTTTTGTTTTCATTACGTTCGGATAGTTATTTATCCTATCATTAGTTGAATAAAGGGAGAGTAACTAGTCCCAAGATGTCAACGCAAGAAGTATCATACTAGTCAGCCTTAGGCTCATTTTGGTTATGTTCAGAATCAGGTTGAGAAGTTTTAAGAGAAACTTTAGTTTATGCCAGCCTGTTGAACGTTTGCTAGGTTATTGAAGTTTGACCAGAAACAAGGTCGTGTAAGGTTTCAAAGTTGGTTGGTTAAGCCTTTTCACGAGTAAAGAACCTTATCTAGAACCAATTAACAAGATCTATTAAAAGTCAAATTATATGGTACTTTAAGGCCCCGTTCACTTCACCAATTCGAGTTTAGAATTCGAGTTTTGCTACAGTAAAAAGCTCTCACAAACAATCACATCAAACTTTTTTGCTACAGTAAAAAGCTCTCACATAAAATCACATCTCAACTCGAATTACAAATTTGAATCAGCGAAGTGAACGGACCCTAAGTATCTGAATTTTTAGATGTGTCCGTCCATAAACCCTTGCTACCTTTTTTTTCATCTTTAAAATTATTTTTGACTCATAAGGATGCGAGTCTTCCTCAAATGATAAACAAAAACACATTATTCTCCCAAGATAATTCTATTTGTTTCAAATTGTCCATTATCTAATGAATAAAAAAAAATGTCTACCACCTTGCCAAAATGAGAGGCGTTCAAGAAGCCTGGTTTAAGGACTTTCCACATAAATGTCGCAACTAAATAGCAGATTGCTGACTTTTAGACAATTAGTATGGACAATCCCACGACATTTCTATACTGTTGAATTATCTAACACGTGTACCAGCCACATGGATTTCTAAACAGATTCTAAAACCTAAAATCACATCAAGAAGAAGAGCACATGAAGTGAAGATTCATCATCTTAGACTCAACTATTGAGGGAAATGGAAGAAGTCCTAACTAGGCAAGATTTCCCAAGTTCAGTCGAGCTTTCGAATGGGCTTTTACGCCAGATTAGCTCATAACTTTGGTTTCCTATTACTCCCTCTTGCCTTTCCGAACATACACCTGCTTAAGCAAAGGCTTATCGGGCTTATCAGTTTATTAACTGAACCATCCTAAAAACTCTTTGAACAAAGTTAGTCATAATTCAGACACTAGTTATTCGTATAGAGAAAAAGAGAAGAACCAATCAAACAGCGTAGCTGAACCATACATCCTCTAGACTAACATAAGAAAATATTGTGCAATACTGGAAATACAATTCAGGATACATTTTAGCTAAAAACTATAAACATTAACAACAAAGAAACAAAGAAATATAGGAGACATACTTTCTTTCTCAACCGACTTTTTCTCGCCGCCTCGCGATTCTGAGCAAGCCTGCGGAGAGTCTGCGGAGTACAATCAAACAACCGGTCATGATCTCAATTCCAATAAATTCAACCACACTGGTAACCTAGTACTATAAAAGTTAAAACTCCCAAACAATATCACCTTCTGATCTGTTTTATCATTTGATCTGTCACTGGAGTCAAAACCAACAATACCATATTGACCTCTATCAAACTGCACAAACGAAATAAGTTGCTCAAATGTCAGATGAGCAAAACAAAATATGCTAACCACTACTTATGGATTCATTGTACATAAAAAGTAAATAATAAAAATTATATAAAAGAAAAAAAAAAGTGAAAAAATAGCTTTACCCTTTGATTCTTCTCGTCTGTATCCACATCTGTAGAAATATCAGTCCTAGGACTGGCATCAGCCATTGGAGGACTCTTCCCAGTTTCTACGTATTTCCCAACACAGACCAGATTCGATGGTTGACCCTCTTGTGAGTACTTATGACTGCTTTAGGCCAAAATGGCAAACAAGGAAACAATTCAATTTTCTTAGTTTACCATAAACAAGAAGAAAGAAAATCACCCAAAAAATTTACAAACTTTATCACTTTAAAATGAATCCAAAGAAGATGGGCAAACAAAATTTTCAAACCTTATGAGAAGATTCAAAGCAAAGTGCTTGCTTGACCACTTAATCTTGTTGAGCTCAACACAGTATTTTCATGAACAGATCATTTCAGACAAACTTTGACTCAGTAAGTAGGGCTCCTTATTGAGAAAAAGGAAACAAAAAAGAGAAAAGGAGAGAAATTTTTTTTCCTTCCCCAGAAATACAGCATTCAGCATAGTAATTCACTCATAACATAATTGTGTCAGAAATGGAGAAATGGGGTTTCTTTTAGGAAAGGAAATTTGCCCTTTTTTGGGGTACAATTGCTATTTGCTAACAAACAACGTATCTCCAGGAAACCAAAAAAAAAAAAAAAAAATTATATATATATATATCCATCATATTTTCCATGACCACCGAGTACTAGAGTAATTATTGGCAATGAAAAAGTAAGGGATGGCAAGCTGCACGTGATGAGTCCGTGCTTCCCTCTTTGTCTTTTACCAAACCAAACAGATAAAAGATGAAAACAAGAGGAAAAAATAACATTTACAAATAAAGTATGAGAGGTTTCGTTTATTTTATCGATTTGAGTTTTTAATTTTAAATTTTTACAGTTAAAAGTTTTTAAAAAATATTACATTTAATTTTTTCTATTATAATTAAAAATTTTCAAAAAATATCACATTTTAATTCGAATTAAAAACTCAAATCAATAAAACGAATAAGATCAGAATTTCTATTATACAACATCTCTCTTAAAGTCAGTTTTAAATCGTTAAATTTAACTAAAATTAAATGCATTAAAAGTAGAGAATTATCGTATTTTATTTTTATAGTATTATCAGAAAAACTCTTATAAAATAGAAACCCCACTTAAGAATTACAAAAGAAAAACTTGAAGCCAAATTAACACCTCCCAAAAAATCAAGATAAATAATGAGATTTTTATGATAGAATGCCCTATTTTATATGTACTTTTATCCATTCAGATATTCATGTATTTTATTATAATTATAATGTAATTTTGATTAAATTTAATTTTAAATCATAAAAAAAAAGGCTTCGATTCTGAAAAATTACTTCCCTTCAATTTGAACTAAAGCCCACCAGGTCTCTCTGAGGACTATAATCAGGACAAGGATTATCAGTTTTATCGTATTATATTATTGGATTTTCTTCTTCTTCTTTTTTTCTTTTTGAACTTTTTTTTATTTGTTTGTCTCTAGAAATTGTGTCATTGGATTAAGTGAGGGGAGGAGAGAGAGAGAGAGAGAGTCTGCGTAGACACGTATGGATCCTTGCAATCTCTAGACGTCTTTTTCTATAGAAATCCTCCACTTTCCAAGAAATATCCTTATTTTAATTGTTTTCTTTAATATTTAAGTGCTTTGACATGAACTATTTTTGTTTAATTTTCTTTTTTGTTAATTGTGTTGAGAGATGCTGAGCTGGCACAAAATAACATTAATACAGCTGATCTTTGAGGTCCTGTTCACTTCGTTGATTCGAATTTAAAATTTAAGTTGAGATATAATTTTATGTGAGAATAATTGTGTTGAGAGATGCTGAGCTGGCACAAAATAACATTAATACAGCTAATCTTTGAGGTCCTGTTCACTTCGTTGATTCGAGTTTAAAATTTAAGTTGAGATATAATTTTATGTGAGAGTTTTTACTGTAATAAAAAAGTTAAATGTGATTATTTATAAGAGCTTTTTACTATAAAAAAATTCAAATTCTAAACTCGAATCAACAAAATAAACAGAGCCTAGGAGTTAAGATCCTCTGCGCCTAACAAAAGAATAAAAGTAGAGGACACTCCCTCACACACTTGCCAGCTCAGAATGATTCTGCGCTGTCATTGGTTGATTGGAAGATGTGCGCGTACGGACCACGGTTGTAACCTCACCCATCTCTCAAAATTAGATCCCCAACCCGATGTTAAGTGCATGATTGGATGATCTCAAAGTTCACGAGCCTTAATAATATGCATCCATTTTACGCCAAGTGTCAAGTGACCTTTATTTTGGAAATCATTGTCACACTCTAATTATTTGTGAGAAATGTTAATGTTCCGTGTAATTATCACTTTCTGTATTTACAGTTTGATAAGTAAATAATTGTTTAATTGTTAAATTCATGTCATTATTCAAATCATAATTCATAATTTGTTATAATATTTTCTCATAAAAAATACACGTAAATCAAAAATAATTCTGAATCCATCAACCAAAACGTCCACTAAATCTTGTATGAATACATTTCTCTTTTTCTCTTCACGTTTTCTATCATTTATCCTTTCCCATTGCATACATCCTTTAGATATATCTAACGCTCTAAGAAATATACACTATCAATAAGAGTAAGAAGCTCTATTATAGGGCTCTTTCTTTATATTCAAGGAAGAATGAATTTCATCACATTTTCCTTAGAATGAGGATTCATTTCATCAACTACTTTTTTCTTCTTTTTTTACTTTTAGAATTATTCTGGTAGACACTGGAAAAATGAGAAAATTGCTTAAACTACTCTTAAGAGTATATGATTCTCAATTTTTACCGTTTACTCTCCATTAATATCCTTTTGACCAATAAGAAGTCTAAAATACTGCATTTTTAGGCATACCATATGATCTACTCGTAGAATATAAACAAATAAGAAGTCTTGGTACCTGAGATCAAGGCCCAAGGGGTTAAATTCTTCCCAATGAATTCATTAGAATTCTTCTCATCGACATGGGGCCGTTTCTGGGTACAAAGACATTCAACTCTTCTTTGACACCACCAAAAAGGGATCAACTATAATGACTGCATCATTATTGATAAATGTAAAATTCATGTCCAGTAATTATGGTTACCTAAATATTGCTCGTCTCATCCCAGCAATAGTATACTTGGAAAAATGCTTGTTTAGAAACAAAGGAGCTTCATGTAATATAAAAAACATGGTTTTAAACGAAGAAACCAGGAGAAAACGATGGAAAGATCTATATCCAACAGAATGATACAAAACCAATTTCAAGTACATCTTTATTTAGGAATTCCACTCCCATAAGAAAATTTCCAATGGAGCACAACCACAGAAAGTAAGTTTGTTCAAAAGTAATTGCTCTTGTAAAAATCTTTGAGGAAACTAGAAATGCCCTGATCCTTGGTGCCCAAATCCTGAACAAGCCCATGATTACCCACCACATATTGTCCGATGAGGTGATGTCGCTGCTTTGCGTGTTCCAAGATGTTATTCAACTCTTCTGTTCCCTTGAAGAGTAGCATATCAATCACCTGCAGATTTATACAATCAGAACGGCGAGGGCCATTTATAAGCCAGATGCATAATATCAGGAAGCATTTTATGAAGCACACTGCCAATACGCAACCTCTGTTAATCTATGTATTTGATGGTAGAAAACAGGAAGATTCTGCATGCACCCTGATACTATGCGAACTTGATTATAATTTTGCTTAACTATTCTCATGTATTAACTCTCACTTTTTTTGTGCCTACATGGAAAACTGAAAGCATCTTGTAAGACGCGTGACAATGACATGGGCGGCCAGCGGCTTAATTTATCTCTGGATCTTACAAATAGTAGGAATGAACCCAGCCGAAATTCATTTGCCATAACTGGGGAAAAAAAATTCAAGAACTTTATACAGTGACAGTCAAATTTTATTAAAAACAAACAGTTACCGGCAGAAGGAAAAAAAAATGTAATTTTTATAAAATACATTGCAAAAATGTATGACCAAGATTTAACAAAGAAATGATTTTATATAGGCCTACTTGTAATTTATGATTCGACTACTCTGTCCTTTACGAAACCTCACTTCACATTTAGGCTAATAAGATGCACGGGTGACACTGTTATCGCTACCGCTATTACAAAGAACTAAATAATCCAACACTTGGACATGTACCTACATCAGAAGCAAGCACCAAGAGGTGATAACACCCATGGCCCAAACAGACTAACTCCCTTAATGAAAATGATAATTTAGAACTAAGCAGGATCATCTAATCACAATGAAAAGAAGATCATCTAATCATTCTAAGTTCGCGGGGAAGTTACATTTCTGTTACACATTATCATTGAGAAATTTTACAAGTCGGTTTTCATAACTTGAGTAACATGATGAAACCTACCAGGCCACAATAAGATTTGCTTTTACCAAAATGTTCTATAACAATAAACCACGAGGTGGAACTTAATTCCACCAAACTACGAATATGTTTTCAATGATATTTTTTTATACAACACGGGATTGAACCCGTAACCCCCCAGTGCCACTAGACCAAGAGATCTTAGGCAAATATGTTCTCAACGATATGATAGTAGTACTACAACTCTTTATAACGGCCCACCCCAAAGATAACCTTGTGGTTATGCCATTGCGTAAAGTCCAAGAAGAAAATACTCAATACATTCCATTCGAGAAGACTTTAAAGAAAAAAAAAATGTAGAAGTATGTCACCTGATTCGGGAATTAACTTGTTACAAAAGTTGAATCAATATAAATTTCCTCTACACCATCCCCACCCCACCACAAAAAAAAAAAAAAAAAAAAAAAAAAAAAAAAAAAAAAAAAAAAACTCAAATATACTGATAAAAAAATGTTGTTAACCCAATTGTAAATAATGTCATTCCAGCAATTTCACATTGGAATTGTTCGATCCTTGAACTTAAACCAACCCTAAGCAATTGAAGTCACAGTCCAAAGAATTTAAGAACCCTAAAATCTCATGAATAAATTCCAGTATGAACATTAAGTTTAAAATATATATATATATATATATATATGAGAGAGAGAGAGAGAGAGAGGGGGAGACCTTGGGGTTGGTGAGATAGGAGTTCTTGCGGATCTCGGAGGCGATGGTGGAGCGGAGCTGGGACACGGTGACGACATCGTCGAGGTTGTAGATTCCGATGATGGAAGGAATGGATCTGCAGGCCGTCCTGAAAAAGTTGAAAACTCTGTGACGAGCTTCCTCCAGACTCGCCGAGTTCGGCGGCACCTTCACGCTCCGTAGTGTAAACGCCATTTTTGCCCCAATTCCACTCACTTCTATCTCTCTCTCTCTCTCTCTCTCTCTCTTCTTGTTCGCCCAACTATTTAGTTTTATGAATTAAAAAAAAAGGAAAAAAAAAACTGAAACGACGTCGTTCAGGGCACATTTTTGGCCTGTTGAATAATTAGAAATTAGAAATGGTGCCCCTGGATTGAACTAATTTGTGATTTCAGTAACTAATTTTAAGATTTGTGAGACTGTGGCACCTCTACAGTCTACAGCCTCAAGCAACTCTTTGTTTTAGATTTGTGAAATTATTATTTGATGATTATATTATTCCTAAGCTATGAAAGGTAATAGTCGATTTACGACCTGATAAGGGTATAAATCTAATTTAAATTTTAGAATTCAGAGCACAATGTTGAGAACATCTAATCTAAGATTGACATTTGAGCTTCGGATTCATACCCCTCTAGGTCAACAATATATATTTTAACGAACTGGTAAAAAAGGTAATCTACAAGATTACCATTAGGAATCTACCAGATGGTGTAAGGTGCTATCCAATCATCGATACTGGTGGGCATCGGCCAATCTCCACTATAGAAGAATATGATGGCTGTGTTTGGAGTTGTTTGTTACATTTTTTGAGAAAGAAAAAATAAAAACAAGAGAGAAACGGCGTTTGACACAATTAAAGATAAAAAACGGAAATAAAAACGATTTTTTAGTTTAGTGTAAAATGGAAGAGAAATGAAAAACGACTTTTAGTCGTTTTTCATTTTTTATTTCCGTTTTCTCCTCTCTCAAGTAGAGAGAGAGAGGAAGACATTCATAGATTTTTTTATACAAAAAATAATCTCTTGAAAAAACTACCAAATGTATTTTTAAAAATGATTTCTGTCTGAGATTGAAAATATTTTCATTTCCATTTTCATACAAAAAACAAAATTATTTTGGAACGAATTTCAAACGCACCCGTAAATTATTGTTCATAATTTTTTTAAATTATTTTTTTAACGTTCAATTAAAAAATGGACGACTCTTTCTAGCCTTTGGCGTCGCTGCCTTCGTAAATCTATCAAATTATTTTTTATGTTTAACTAAAAAATGATCCTAGTCTAAAATAGATAACCCTTTCTAGTCTTTAGTGTCGGTTCCTTCATAAATGTATCAAATTATTTTTTATGTTTAACTAAAAAATGATCGATTGTTTCTTGCCTTCCGTGCAAGTCGCTAGAGTTTGAATCTAAAAATCTACTAGATTACTTTTTATTTTCAACTAAAAACATATTCGAACATCTTTCGATTACCAGTATAAGTCACCAAAAAATGGTCTACAAGATTATTTTTTATTTTCAACTAAAAACATATTTAAATTGGTCCAGGATGCCAAAAGTCAGACGATGATTGGCAGGGGTAAAAGGATGGCATATCTTTACATTCTTGATTCGACCACCTTGCAGTCAAGTTCACCACTATCACTCAATTCAATTTCAATCAATTCTTTTTCAGTCAATTCAGTTTCAGCCTGTGTATGGCATAATAGGCTTGGCCACCTATCTCATAAAAGATTGGAGCTGCTTAAAGACCAGTTGGAATGTTTCAAGCTGGACCATTCTGATCCATGCTACATATGTCCTTTAGCTAAGCAAAGACGTTTATCTTTTGTTTCAAATAACAACATGTCTATGTTGCCATTTGACTTGATTCACTGTGACATTTGGGGGACATATCATGTAACTGCTCATTCAGGGCATCGTTTTTTTCTTACTTTAGTTGATGATTGTACCAGATTCACTTAGGTTTCTTACTCAAACAGAAATCTAATGTGGCTCATGTAATTCCCAAATTTTTCAACATGATTGAAACTCAGTTTGATAAGAAAATAAAGTAGTTCAGGTTGGATAATGCTAAGGAATTAGTGTTTGCTAATTTTTTTTTTCTAAAAAAGGAGTTTTGCATCAGTATTCCTGCATAGATACTCCTCAACAGAATTCTGTAGTAGAAAGGAAACATCAACACCTACTCAACGTTACTCGGGCCCTGTATTTTCAGTCTCATATTCCACTCACTTACTGGACTGAATGTGTTCTCTCTGCCACCTACTTAATCAATCGGACACCTTCCCCGTTGCTTCAAAACAGGACCCCTTATAAAGCCTTATACAAGTCTCAGGTTGATTACTCTTTATTTAGACTTTTTGGCTACTTGGTTTTTGCATCTACCTTAAAGGCTCATCGCACTAAGTTTCAGCCTAGAGCTAGGCTGTGTGTGTTTATTGGCTATCCAACAGGCATTAAAGGATACAAACTACTCGATATTCAGTCTAAACATGTATTTGTCTCAAGAGATGTCATTTTTCATGAAGATGTTTTTCCATTTCATCAATTGACTTCTCTGGAACCTCCTATTGATCTGTTCCCTGATTTGGTTATTCCAAAGCCAATTCTTGAGCATTCCTCTTCTCTGTCACCTTCAACCTCCCATCCACTAGCCCAACTTCCATCCCCTCAAGCTCTAATTATAGACGATCATCACGAGCTGTTAAACCTCCATCTTACCTCCGTGATTATCACTGCAACTTACTCACCAATCCATCAAACATCTCTCATTCTCATCATGAGTATCCTTTATCCAAATATGTTGCTTATAACTCTTTTTCACCCTCTTACTAAACTTTTGCCTTGACCGTATCATCCCACTTTGGTCCACAATTTTACCATCAAGCAGTTAAATATCCTCAGTGGAGAGAAGCTATATGAGCTGTTTTAGAAGCCATGGAAGCCAACAAGATGTGGTCTGTAGTTCCCCTACCTCCAGGGAAACACACCATCGGTTGTAAATGGATCTATAAGATCAAGTACAAATCTGATGGTTCCATTGAACGTCACAAGGCCATACTGGTTGCAAAGGGGTATACACAACAAGAGGGTGTGGATTTCCTAGACACGTTTTCCCCCGTAGCTAAATTGGTGACTGTTAAAGTCTTATTGGCCCTAGCTGCGAGTCATTCCTGGCATATGGTTCAATTAGATGTCAACAATGCATTCCTTAATGGGGATTTGTTTGAGGAGGTTTACATGGATCCTCCACTTGGATATCGTAGTAAGGGGAGATTCTTGAGCAGGATAAGAAGCTTGTCTGCAAATTATACAAGTCTATTTATGGACTTAAACAGGCTTCACGCCAGTGGTTCTCTAAGTTTTCTGCAGCACTTCTACACTTTGGTTTTGCTCAATCAAAATCTGACTATTCCTTGTTTACAAAAGGATCTGGATCTTTTTTCGTGGCTTTATTGGTTAATATGGATGACATTATACTCACAGGGCCATCCATGGAAGTTATCAACTCTCTCAAACTTTTTCTTCATAGTCGGTTCAAGCTCAAGGACTTAGGAAATTTAAAGTATTTCCTAGGCCTTGAAATTACTCGCTCAACTAAAGGCATAGTGCTTTCGCAGAGACAATACACTTTACAGTTACTTGAAGATACTGGATTTCTGGCATCCAAACCTACTTCGGTCCCTATGGATCCTCATGTAAAGCTCTCGGCTACAAATGGAGAACTTTTGTCTGATATTTCTCAGTATCGTCGGCTCATAGGTCGCCTACTTTATCTCACACTCTCCAAGCCCGACATCACCTATGTTGTTCACCGCTTGAGCCAGTTTATTTCCAAGCCTCGGTATCCTCATTTACAAGCTGTTCACCATTTCCTACGTTATCTAAAGGCTCATCCAGGTCAAGGGTTATTCTTTTCCTCTTCATCTCCTATGCAACTTAAAGCCTTTTCTGATGCTGATTGGGGTTCTTGCCCGGACTCTCACAAGTCAATCACTGGATTTTGTGTGTTCTTAGGGGAATCTTTAGTCTCCTGGAAGACAAAGAAACAACCAACCATTTCTCGTTCATCAGCTGAGGCTGAGTACCGAGCTTTGGCTGCCACTACAAGCAAGTTAGTGTGGTTAAAGCAATTACTCAGAGATTTCTCCATTGCTCTCTCATCCCTTGCTCTTCTCTTCTGTGACAACCAGGCTGCAATTCATATTGCTTCTAATCCTACGTTTCATGAACGCACTAAACACATCGAGATTGATTATCACTTTGTTCGTGATCAAGCTACTGCAGGGTTTGTCAAACTTATGCCCATTCGGACACAACGTCAACTGGCAGATCTCTTTACCAAAGCTTTACCAGTTGCCTCTTTCTTCTCACTTTTGTCCAAGATGGCTGTCAAGGACATTTACAGTCCATCTTGAGGGGGAGTTTTAAGATAGCCAAGTTATGCTGAGCTAGAATGTTTTTGTAACAGTTTTTGTTAAGTTGTTAGACTTTCTGTTGTAATATTATTTTACAATTATTTTACTTCCTAGATATATAAAAAGGAAGTTGTCTCTGTACAGACTAGATGAGAATAATACAATACACAATTTTCATCCCACTATTTTTCTTCTCTTCCTCTCTCGAGATAAGCTCAGATTCAATAAGGAATCTGAATAGATTATTTTTTATAATTTATCTGATAAAATTTAATTTTCAATTAAAACCTCGTTCATTTCACCAATTTAAGTTTAGAATTCGAATTTTATTACAGTAAAAAACTCTAAAAAAAATCACATTTAACTTTTTTGCTACAGTAAAAAACTCACATAAAGTCACATATCAACTCGAATTAACGAACTAAACAGCCCTAAAAATATATTTGAATGTCTTCTGTCTCCGACGCTAGAAATAAATCCGGTAGATCATCTTTTTATAATTGTAACATCTCCAGAATAACCAAGCTAACAGTGGTGGGGGTGCAAGAATAAAATTTATCATAATCCTTACAATTTCAGGTAGTTCAGTTTCGGAACAACAGTAAAATAATAGCTTGATGACATTAACTCTACTATGGGTTAATTTTTCTTTTTCATTTTCACGAAATGTTTGTAAAAGGATTTTACATTTCCCCACATTCAGCAATGACACATGCCAGTTTGGGCCGGTTGTTGGGTCCATTAGCCACATTCTCAATCTTCCTCACAACCAGAAGACCATCTCCAAGAACTCTCTGCATGATCATCGGAGGATAACTTGTTATATGCACTCAGATATATATTTATATATATATATATATATATATAAAGAAAAAGATTCCAGATGCTCGTAAATAATTATTGGTCTTGGATAATGAAACAGATAGTGGAAATGGAGGCATCCAATATCAAAAAGAATCATCAGACTCAACTCAACCAAGCAAGGACAGCTGAATAAATGCAAACTACAAGCTTAATACCTCAAGAGAGTTGGTCCTAAGAACATATAACATACAGTTGAATAAAAGTTTCAGTTTTACACTAAATTTATGCAAACCAGCCGATGCAGCCAGACACGAGAGAAAATTATGAGTTTTATCTGGTTGGTCTTGCAGAATTAAGGATGACCTCTATTTAGCCCTCCTTCATTTCGCTAGCTCGAGTTTTCAACTCAAGTTAAAAAGTGAATTCATGTGAGAGAAAAAACCGTAGCAGAAAAAGTTAGAATTTGACAAAAATTTGAGTTGTAATTCGAACCAACAAAATGAAAAGGACCTTACTGTTTTCACCGGGCTCCATGACTCGCTTCAAATTTGATTCAAGACTATCCAACATAAACTTAAAGCTCATAGGGGAACGAACCCCTTACTAATCAAACCAAAAATTCAGGCTGAATTTATAACCAGAATTTGATGGTACATACCCCAAAAACAACATGCTTGTTGTCAAGCCAATCACACTTCGCACAAGTGATGAAGAACTGCGTTCAGGAAAGAAAAAAAAAAGTTTGGTCAATATCATGCGCCTAAAAAGTTCACATTAATCATCAAGAATCTTAAAACATTAAAAAAAATGTTAACACCCTTCAATCCCCCACTGAATTTACATTTAGAGTGAAGTGCAAGGAGCCAACTAGAATTGCAGTTTATATGCTTTTGAGTTATTAAATCTGGCCTTCCTGTCTAAAGGTCCAAACAAGTTTGCTCGGAGTAGATAAAACTGAAACTTCAACCTCATATTTATTCATTAACGCATAGTAAAGTTATATAGAGGAAACCTAGCCGCCTGCGAAACTCAAATTGCTAACCAGCCCTCGACTTTTAGGACTCTTAACTAACAAGGATAAATACAATCAGAAAATAAGATAAATACAAAACAAAAATCAACTAATGCCTATCTTTTGGTAACTTAACTTTATTCAAATAAATCCAAATTCAAATTTGAAGATAATCTCGGGATTTCCAACACAAGATTACGACACTTGCTGTTTTAAGTTCATCATGCATGTAGGACAAGCAAGGATATTGTACTAAAGGCGTCCAAGGGAGTGCAGATTTGCTGTATGTGGCAACAAAATTTAGAGAATAGAAACCATACATAGGCCAGTTTGGTATGCACTACACAGATGCAAAGAGTGAAAATCAGTTTATAGATAATAGTCATGTGCAGATTATTGCGTCTTTATGCATATTTTCCATGCTTGGACATGGACATGGACATGGACATCTCCGAGTATAGAGATTTGATTACCTGACACCCGTTGGTATTTGGTCCACTATTCGCCTGAAAAGGAGGAAGGAAAGCACATAAAATCAGTTCTAGAAACAAGCCTAAAAAATTAATCTTTTATGGCCTTAAGGTAGAATATTTACTGGGAAACCGGAATTGAGCAAAGAAATTAGTTCATAATTTAATTAATGTCAAAACCGCATATTTCATAGCCATCTGTGATACCGGTTTAGAAGAAAAATACATAGCAAATGCTATCCAAAAATAAGGATGGGACATTTCAAAAAAAAAAAAAAAATGACCACAACACAGAAGTCTTTCTTAGATGGGTCTGTCTACTTTTTGTTAAAATTTCACAAGGAAAAACTAATTGTGGATATTAATTGCATCATCTCCAGCTGTTGGAATACCAAAATTTTCAAAAATCCGGGGATTCCAATGAGTCACTAATCGAGCTCTTTCAATTATGATTAGAGTTTCACTAGAAAAGTCAACATAAAGGTCTTCAGAAATTAGATAATGGATTGTTAGGGATATGATTCGATTTTAGACATCTTTGTAAGCTAATCATTAAAAAAATTTAAAAAAAAAAAAAGATGAATAAGTTAGCAAGAACTTGGAATGTGTTTTAGTTGGAAATCAAGGACAGAAAGACAAAAGCAGTTCATGTTAATAGTTAAATACCCATATAAGAAATCAGAAACGTTGACGAGAGGTCAAAGTTATAGGATAACATCAGTTGAACATAAATCCGATATTTATTCCCTTAAAACATGTAAATATCCTTTATCTATTTCGATGCCTTGTACTTTTACCCCGCAACGTGTTTTGTTTCAGAATGTTAAAAGTGTGTTTTCACAGCTCAAATCACAACTCAAACTTTTGTACGAGAGAAAACACAATAGCAAAAACGTTGAATTTGAATTTTTGTGAGAGAAAACACTGTAGCAAAAAATATTTGAGTTGTGATAAGAAACACAACTCGAATAAGACTGGCTGGCTACTCAAAATTACCAAAAATCAATAGTAAATTACTCTAAAACTATAAGGTATATATGCAGTGTTGTTCTGACCATTAGAGAGAATTAAACTACTAAAATCTTTCACTTATAACACTCATGTGTGCAGTATGGAATTAAACTAGTATTTAACAAAAAAGAAAAAAAATCATACATTAGTCAATGATAGTAAATGCATACCATTGATAAGAGACCAGGACCAGTGTGTTTGGCAATGAAGTTTTCATCATCAAACTTATGACCATAGATGGAAACACACCCACTACCATCACCCTGCACACAACAAAACAACAATTTCCAATTTTTAGACCGAATCAATTCTCCATATACTTGGGTTTTTCTAAATTACTTTTTTTCCATTTTTTTTCCCAAATGACATTTTTACAGATTTTCATTCTCAAGAATCTGATCTTAACTTTTTAGCAATATTGAAACTTCATATACTAAAATCGAAGAAATGAGATTAAAAGCAGGAAAAGAAGAAGAAAAGAACCTTAAGGAAATCTCCGGCTTGAATCATGAAATCCTTGATGACTCGGTGGAACTGGCAGCCCTTGTAGCCAACGGGGAGACCGGCTTTTCGGTACTCGCCGGTGCAGAACTGCCGGAAATTTCCGGCAGTCTTGGGGGCGATGTCGGCGAAGAGCTCCATCTTGATGCGACCGGCGGGGATGGTGCCAATGGTGATGTCGAAGAACACGATCGGATTCTTTGGGTTAGGAGGCCGCACGTGCCACTCCACTCCTCCCGACGCCATGGAAAAAGCTTTCTTTCTCTCACCTCCTCTTTTCTTCTTCTCGCACTATCTGTACTCTTGTGGGAGAAGAACTATATTCTTTCTTGGGCTTAAAAAGGAACATTCGGTACGCCAAATCTGCATAATTAGCGTAAAAATTAAAAAATATATAAATTTAACGATTAAAAAATACGTAAGTGTATTAAAATTTTTTTTTTAAATTAAGCTCACGTTAATTTTATCAATTTAAATTTTATTATACTAAAAAATTTTTAAAAATAATCGTATTTAATTTTTTTACTACAGTAAAAAAATTTTATATAAAATTACATATCAACTCTAATTAAACAGGCCTAAATGTTAAAACAAAACCGGTCAAAAATAAAATAAAATAAATAACTTTTAGCATATTTTCTCTGAATTTTTAATTTTAGTAATCAACTTCTTAAATTTACTTAAGGGTAAATTTAGTATTTTATATGCCCAAATTATTAAATAAATCATTTTAAAAAATATTAATAAGTAAAAATTACACAATACACTCTTTTTTTTTTCAAAAACCTAAATTACTTTATTAATAAAATAAACCTAAATTACTCTCAACCATTGATGTTTGAATATTTTAATCTCAACCATCTATCCAATTAAAAAAAAATCCAAATGACCAGTCTTTCTCTCTCTCTGAACCCAACTAAGCTTCAAGAAGAGCATCTGATTACTGCCATGAATGTCCTTCTTGAAGCTAAGGTTGGGTTCAGTGAGAGAGACTAATTTGTCCCTTTCCAGTTTCAAACTTCTTTTCCGTCTGTGGGTTTAGATGGAAATGAATGGAAGGATTTTTTAGGGGATTATTTACATAAATACCTAATAAATTATATACCTTGTTTTAAAAAAGCACCATGATTTTTTAAAATTATTTAAAACGGCTCGTAAGTCTCGTTCGTTTCGTTGATTCGAGTTTAAAATTCAAGTTTTACTACAGTAAAAAATTCTCACAAACAATCACATCTAACTTTTTTACTACAGTCAAAAACTCTCACATAAAATCGCATCTCAACTCGAATCAGCAAAACGAACGAGGCTATAAAAAACATATCAAATTATCTTTTCCGTTAATTTTCGTGTATAATTTTAACAGTTCACTGACATGACACATTGTTAAAAGGTTAATTAAATGTAGTCAATTCTAGTTAAAAATTATATAACAATAATTTAATTTTAAAATAATATAACAAAAGTTAAAACATAAAATTTCCCAAAAATAAAAAAGATTAAAACCTAAAAATGGTATTCTTTCTTGGCTCTAACTTGCAGAACCCTTTTTTCACACCTATGGGTGTGCTGCCGGCCCCTACCACCACCACATCTGCGACCATGTTGCACCACTGTGAGCACGCCGCACCGAAGAGTGAAGCACAACAAGGCACCGGCCACGTCCCTTCTTGCAAACACCAATCATGAACCCAACCAAGCCACCTCCCAATGATCACAAAGAATAGGCTCAGGGATTCGCAACAGAGCTTGCCGGAAAAGACATAGCGCTAGTGGTTGTGAGTGGAAGGAGGGATCACGACATTAGCTAAGAGGTTCGGTTGGGCGTTTAAGCGCCATTTGACAAGGTGTCGTTGTGACGGCAAATGCTCGTGGGAGGCTCGCGATGCTTGAGATGGTGGAGACGATGAGGGATTGGTCTCCGATGCTTGCGACAACATTCCGGCACTGATAAGGTCATCAGCGAACAGAGAAGGTGCGATTGGGATGGTGTCGGCGGTGCTGAGAGAGTAATGGATGGATGCTTAACTCTAGGGTTTTTTTAAATAACTTTAAATGGACGACTCAAATTACATATTTTTAGGTCAATAGTTGAAATTAAATGGCCCTGAGTTTTTAGTAATATTTTTTAATAATAAGCATATATGTTGTAAAAATATATTTTTAATCTTTAATAACGTGTCACGTCAGTCAACTGTTAAAATTATGCATGAAAGTTAATATAAAAGATATTTGTTTGATATGTTTCTATACATTAAGTGGCGTTTTGAACAATTTTAAAAAACTAAGGACATTTTGAAACAAAATATATAATTTAAGGAGTATTTATAAAAATAATCCTTTATATGACCACCAACACTGACACCATTTGTCCCTTTAAAATTTTTAACAGAGCACGTTATGTCAAGTTTTACATTTCAATCTTTTTTTTTAAATTTTGACAAAACAACCCTTAAATTAACATAAGTAATTAAACCCTTTCTGTGAAATTCTGTCAAAGTTTTTAACAGAACACATTATGTGCAAGGCATGTAGGAGGGCATATTGATAAAATGACAATAATTTACAATTTAACCAAAAAATACACTAAACGCACTCTAAGTAGTACAATAAAAAAAAAAAAAAAAAAAAAAGTAGGGAAAAAAAAAAAAAAAAAAAAAAAAAAAAAAAAAAAAAAAACAAAACCATACGAGTTGCAAACAACCCTAACAATTAACAACCAACAACAAGCATTGGAGCATAAGGCCTCCATGGATGGGGTTGCGAGAGTGTGGCTTCACTGTGGTGGCTATTGCATCGGTGTTGAGTCTAAAAAAAGTAAACATATCAACCAATAACAAATAAATGTTAAATTTACCATATGTTTTATTTAATGAGAAATTTATCACAAAATATAAGACATAGCAAATTTAATATAACAAATAATATTACATTAGAGAGTTTTTTTACACTCAAATGTTAAATTTATGATTAACATATCATTTATAACATTATATTAACGATGCTCTAACTGACAGAGAATCCGTACAGATCCTACAATAGACTTTCCCTAAATATTCTCCTTGAAAAACAACTTTTTAGAAAACATGGAGACCACGGTATTCCTTATCGTGTCAATGTCCAAAGGTAGATGGAGAGACATTTCAAACTTTGATAAATGCCACACTGAACGAATTTCGCATGAAGGTGATAATTCAAAATTTCAATAAAAATTATTATGGGAAAGCTTACTCCAAAAGACAAAAAAAGAATGAGCCCGCTCACCTCTCCCTTTAGTGAGAAAATGCCTTTGCCACTCCAGTCTCCACCTAGAGCTGCCAAATTAATTTGGCAAGCCAAAGGCCCACTACTGTTAGTTTGGGCTCAGATTACAAGCTCGAATACGAGATATTTGGTTCATGGATTAAAATCATGTGATTAGAATCATTTTCGATATACATGTATTTTTTATGAGAGAACACTGTAACGAACTATAAACCATGATTCAAATTATGGTTTAAATCCTCCGACTAAACATCTCTTTATTCATCTAGGTTGAGATTACAAGCTCCAACACTTATTCAGCCCGGCTCGAACGCCTCTTTAAAAAAAAAAAAAAAAATTAAATGCCTTAAAAATTTCTGGGTTGACCCTTAGCCCGTCAGGCTTTAAGACCGGATTGGACCGATTCTCTCCCTTTTAAGACCGACTTGAAATTTCCATTCGAATTGAACCGGCCGAACTTTCACCTCTACTCTACCTTCCTAGGGAACCTTTGAAATGTTTAAAGAAAAGGGTGATAGCAATAAAAACCCTCTTTAATATGCTTAAAGGCCGAGTCTAGTGGTAATGCATGCCCACGCCTTGAGATATAAAATTCAAATCTCTCATTCCAAGAATAAAAATATATAAATAAAAGAAACCCCTTATCAACTCTGTTGTTTTTTACGTCATAGCATACTTTCTCACTACAGAAGGAACCCTCTTTTAGTTGTAAGTCGGTTTACTCCAACCAAGTACACATAAGCCTCGTTGATTTCACCGATTCGAGTTTTCAGTTTTAGGTTTTTACAGTAAAAAAACTCAAAAAATGTCACATCTAACTTTTTCTGCTACAGTGAAAATCTTTCTGAAAATATCACATCTCAGTTCAAATTAAAAACTCGAATCCGCGAAGTGAACGAGACCAGAATATCGCACAATCTAACCTTAAGTGGAAAAATATCCCAACATTTTGAGTTGATTCAACTCAACAACAAATTTTATTGAATCATTAGATCAGAGCAGCTATAGTTTCCAAGTTTGACGCCTATAATACATACATCAGCACACGGGAACGGGGGTGTGTGGCGGCCTTTCTACAATAACTCACCGCTCATACAATACCCCATACCATGGCTTATAACTAGTACACATTATAAAAAGCACTGAGGATTAGAATTTACATACACGGCCAAGTATGCCAGACATTAAATTAGGAATCAGGTTGCTCGGTTTTCAATGGAGTACCGGATGTGGATGCAGCACTCCCATTTTGAAGGTACAAGCTGTTGGCCACCATAGAATCACTGACCAAGCCAACATCAACATCGTCAAAATTAAGACTGCCTCTGAGCTTTCGAGCACTGCAAAAAGAGAATGCGGATGAGGAAATTGTTGATTTTTTTTTTCTTTTCGTATACAACAAAACCGAAATAGAAAGTAATAGCAACATAAACAAAATCATACCCGTGCCCATTTAAGCGGTTATTGATAGCAGTCAGATCTTTTGAAGGGCTCTGGTACGCATGAGTGCTCTCTCCAACACAAGCATAATAACTTTTAGAGCTATTTGATATCAGAGCATCCATCTGTCAACATTTCAAAATAAGTTCCAAGTCAAAATCCAGAATTCAAAAACATAGTAAATATGCTTGCTTAGCTAACTTTGAAGTTCTGTTAATGCACCCTGGTCTGTTACACTGATACCGTGGATCGTATCTACAAAAGGTAGCAAGTTGAGGGCACAAAGAGACATGCTCTAACTATCACTGCATTGCTCATTATAGGTAAAATACCATTTCAAGGGGGAAAAAGGAAAACAAGGAATGCATGAAAAGCTAAACGTATATCATAGAGTGCGAGTAAGGAAATCAAGTATCCACCAAAAACATTGAAACTTCAGTGCAGACTTGATATAGGCTATAGCCACAGAAAGTATATAATAAACATGAAGTTTCATGCGATACGAAACTTTGGAGTTGAACATAAAACTTTTATCTTGTATTTGCCATATGTGTGATGCTTGTTTGTTTTCTCATAGCAACTAGTTAAATATGGAAGATCAACTAATTAAAAGATTAATAAATAACAAAAACACAGATCCAGAAAAGAAAAAAATTAAAAATTAAATAAATACCTTGGAAGACCGCAATGGAGAAACATATACATTGTGTGCTGCAGAAACCTTCTTTGGGGACATATCAGGGAGACTTGGAAAAGGAGATACTTTAGGTGATCCGGGACATTGAGCTGATTCAGCAGGTCAATATTCTTAGTAGCCAATAATGCATGGAGAAATCTTACTAAAAGAACCAAATAGAACTCTAACAAAAACAAAAACAAAAACAGGACGCAAAAAAAAGCATACCGTCATTGTTATTGTTAACCTCAGGAACCCGGTTACTTTTCATATTTGTTGCGGCAGGTCCAAGCTCGACTAGAATAGGGTTTACAGCAGGAATGAAAATGTCATTGTAAAATGTAATGATATCCACGTGATCTTGAGCTGACCTCTGCTCAATGCAAATCATTAGAATGGTTAGATCAGCCTAGAAATGGAAAATTAAGAGAACTAGGATTAGGCAACATACCCCAGTGCGGCGTGCAGATGAACAATCAACAAAAACACTCCGGAAAACTTGTGGCTTACATTGTGGTTGTTTCCTATAGTTGTAAATTATTTCCTTAAAGGTGAGGCTCAGCTGAGAAATCTGGAGGCCAGGATTAGACGTGTAAGTAAACAAAAAATGTTGACAACAAATTCCCAAAATCTGTTAGAGATTCATATATTTGACCTTTGCAACTCCATAGAAAGAACAAAGGATGATCTGGTCAATATGGCGGTTAAAGAAGAGGAATGTCCGCTGACTGAGTATTTGTTGAAAAAGACAGTAGACATTCTCCCTGATCTGCTGAGATAGTTGAAGCCTTTCAACCATGCCATTGATTCTGACAGCGGCCAACTTAATAATCTGGGATACAAGTATGAGATTACCGAAATCAGAATCCAAAAGAAATTTTTTTAAAGAAAAGAAAAAGAAAAAGCATTGAAATTTGAGTCCTAATGAAACTCAGAGACAAACTCGTGTCACAAACTACAATATTAGAAACTCCAAATCAATAAAAATAAAAAGGTGTGACAATCACAAAGTAAAGTTGCTGGTATGAAAGGAATAAAAATAGAGCATCATTACAAAAGAACAGCTGCTTGAAAACTGCTAGAAAATTGTTTACATATTAAGCAAAAAGAAAAAAGAAAGGAAAAGTACTCTAATAGTTAGGATATAACTGTCATCAAATGGAACTTCATTCATCCTAGTTGCCATGAAGAAACTCCAGTTACCCCACTCTAGCTCCCCCTCCCAAATAAATAGAAAATAAAAAGGGAAAGAAAAAGGACTAAAGACCGTGAGAAATCTTAGAAGAAAATTTTCAGAATTCTGGAGCTAGTGGAACAAATGGAGTTATCTTTTGATAAATACTGTCTACTGTCTAATACCTTGCTGAAGAATACATTTACTCCGGTCTCTGCACATGTTTCCCCACCACCACCTGGATTTGGCCGTGTTGGACTGTTCAACGAATATCATAAAATACTATAACTTAGGAAGCATTCCAAAGAAAGAGAGAAAGGGAGGTAGAGAGAGATGAAGAATATGGTACAAATAAAATTATAATGCTTTTCCCGGGACTGATATTGATACCTTGCAAAAGCAGACTGCAAAGGAGGAGGAAGCTTTGATTTTAGGTTATTTAAGGCAAGAAAACGATCCTTCACTGGTGATGTGAAGGAATTCCGCTCTACTAATACACTCCGATAGTCTGTGCACAATCTCTTTGGAGATCTCATATCCCCATTGTTACCTGAAAAATAACATCAATACGATAATACGATTTCTGATAGAAAATTCTTTCATGCATCACAATTTATTGCACCAAGAAGGGGTCAGTAATAGTAATCTCACTTGGACGTCTACCTGGTGAAGTCTCGTGCTTCTGTAAAGAAGGTATAGGAGGGGCTGCTCCAGAAGAGAAATTAATATGCACAGCAATTTCATCCAAAGATGGCATTGGTTCTGCTAATAACCCGAGACGATTTATTTCTGCAGAGAGAGAAGGTCTTGCAACTATCAAAGAATTATACATTGAGGAACCCTTCTCCCACACCATGCTTTCCAAAAGTCGTTCTTCCAATGAATTCAGATGACGCCTCAATTCTCTTGGAAGAGATTCCTCGTGTCGAATGAAACTCTCTATCACCTTGCTAAGGTCAAAAGCCGTAATACCAGTCCTCTCTAACACTGCGGGGAATAGCATTGTGACAGTCTTATGTGTTGCAAGAACTAATTCAGCAGAGCAGGCAAGCATACATCTATGAAACCTCTCATTGGTTAATAAAGAGGATAAATTTGTTGCATGCAAAATTTGAGCCTCTGCTCTACACATTGCCTCCAAAACCCTGTAATATAGTTTAAGTGCTTCCAATCTCCTTTGTTCTGCCCAGATTCTGTCCATGAGATTGGCACTTTGTAGACTTCCAGTCCCACAGTGATCACCTAATGTGCTGCTAGGAAATATCGCTTCTAGTATTATTTGTGCCCTGCGTATCACATCATTAGTAACATCCTTATCACATGATACTAGGAAACGTTCCAGATCTGGTGAGGGTTTTGCAGGAAGTGAAGAAATGACAGTCCGAAGCCACTTTGCTGTTGTCATTGCAGTGCTCACAGGTGTAGCTGTTATCTTTGAACTAGCAACGCCAAGACTGCGATTACCATGAGATACAGGAGAACGCTGGGGAGAGAGAGGACTTGTAACTGTCTTTGTTGGAGAAGATATTGAATCAAATTTCCTCTGTGCAAAGAAATAATAGAAAAGAAAATCCTATCAAATGGGTTTCCCACCACAAAATGGAAAGCATCTAGACTCTAGTCAAAACAATTCCATGAAATGAGAAATGCAACTTAAAATTGAAAACAAACCTTGACACCAGTCGTACTCATAGAACCTCCAGATAAAGTCCCTGTACCAATTAAGCTGTCCTCCTCGTTAATAAACAACCTCTCATCCAGTTCACTCTTAACCTGAATCGCATCGTCATAATCTTTTTCTAAAATATCTAAATTGGATGAAAAAGATGCGTCCATCAGATCTTCAAAATAGGTCAATCCATCTGCATTGAAGAGATTGAAAAATGATCAGAAAATGACAGAAAATAGCAGAATAATAGATACTCCTTTTAGACATAGAAAATTTTCAAATGAACCTGGATTGATATTCTCAAGGTTTTCACTTTTGCATTCGGATGCCAAACGGGGCTTCTTCTTCAAAATTTCAGCTATCAAAGAATTGGCCTCTTCCATTCTGATTTTTATTTCATCTTCTGAGGTGTCATAATTGTTGCAAAGTGATGCAAGCAAATCCACACCCTTGTTCTCTTTTTTGACTGAATTAGAGATCAAATGAATCAAGAAGAAAGAAGAGTGCCACATCAACCCACTTCAGAAGAGAAGAAAAGTAAACCATCGATTAGAACTTCTAAAGACCCAAAAGAAAACTACCTAGTTTTGGAGAGTCGAGGATGCTAAAGTTTCTTAAACGAACAGGGACATGAATGATCAAAATGGCCTGCAAAAAGAATATAGAATTATCATTAAGCAGAGAGGAAAACACTTTTTAAAATAGAAAGCTATAACATTTTACAAATGGAATATAACAAATGTGAAGTAATATTCTATTCGTGATGCAGAGAGCACAAAAATTATATGTAGCAACATGAATGCTTTGGACCCTTATCTTCCTTCTAGCATAGCATATAATATTTAAAAGTTATATATATTGTTTAATGTTGTGAAATGAAATCACAATACACAATGCATTAGTAAAGCAACTAACCTATCATCCTACCAGTAGTTTCCAAAGTGATTAAAAAAAAGGTCTCCAACTTACCAGTATTGAAACCAAACAATTGGTGCAAGTCACTAGGTCTTTGAATCGGCTGAATACATGTGTGCGAAAAGCCAAGAACAGCAACCATCCAAAACGATGGTACTCTGACAGATAATCAGTAGGACTCCCAGTAGTTGACTGCTTATCCATATTTGCATCACTTGCCAAGAAGAATTCCAAGTATGCTCGTTTGTAGAACCTTTAAGAAGCAAATTAATCAGATGCATCGTTAGAATGCAAATATATTGGGATTAATCTCCCATAGAGCTCAGGCGATCTAGAAAATATTGACTTAAGGAGGAAGGTTCGGGTATTTACAATTTAGTATTCAAAAGCATGCAACAAATTCTTAGAAAATGCACCACTGCATGATCATAGAATGGTTTGCTTAGTTCTTAAACAGATAAAGAAACCAACAAATTGCCAGTCATAATCAAAGCAAACTCGAGCATTCTAAAGAAAAAGAATAATGGTTGATAAAGAAAGTCAAGTTAGTCTCGGATAGGTACAGTGATGTGACATGTTTTCGTGCTATAAAGTTTGATTGTATGCCCAGTAAAAAGTTTATTTCTGAACCTGAAATGTGGAATATCAGAAGCTTCTGCTTTCCTTGAGAAACAAAATTTTAAAAGAAAAGGCTTTTGACCAAAGAAATCAAGCAAAACAAATATCTACTTCGATTTACATTATTCAACTCCACAGTTTAAAGTGAATATTCTAAGAAAATCTACTGTCCTACATGAACTTTGATCTGCTCTTAAGACAGTAATTATGTGCCACCAAAACTTTATTGTTTCTACCATTGCCACCCATGACCCATTAACTACTCATCGGCACTTTGCTAAAACAAGTTAGCACAAAACCCACAACCATACACTACCACCACAGCCATTCTTTCCACAGCTAAGATCCCACTAATGCAAACAAATAGATAATGTGCCGGTAAGGAAAGAAGAAAAATACTGTATTTCCTTCATGCATTGTGGTGCCATCTTCAAAAGACATGACTAACTATAAAGATTTCAAACGATAATGTGCAAATAACTTAAAGAAAGAAGAAAAGTTCACAACCCACAATTTATGAAATAATAATACACAAGGCATTTAAACATAGAGGGAGATACAGAAGGAAAAGTACTCACTTGCTTAGAAAGCCCAAGAGCACAAAGTTTGCCTGCAACTCCTTAGCCTGGTAACATAAACACATTTTCCTTAACATCAGCAAAAATTGCCAAATAAAAAAAAAGATTAAAGAAAAAGCAGAAGACTTTAGTGACACAGCCCTCTCAACGTGTAAGCATAAACCTCTACCAAATCAATACCTCGAGTCTGTTTTCCCAATCTGTGCCATAACGACAGCTCAAGATTGAACCAGCTTTAACCATAAAGTGAGGAAGCTCTTTGAGAAACTCCACAATGCTGCGGAAAATAAATAAAAAATTAAAATTCGAAACCCGCAAACTATACAGAATCATAATAAAACCACATCAAAATATACCTCAGCTTCGCAGCCCTCAAAATCTGGCACAACGTAACCCCGCAATCGTCGGATCTCTCCTCGGCATTATCTCGGTCCTTCGAGCTCAACCTCTTCACCGAGTACAAAATAAACACAAACCAGAAGCGCTCTGCTTCCTCAGGCTGGTACATAAAAAGAAACAAGAGAGAGAGATTTTCATTTAGTCCACACAGAAAACGGTAATCTCCCGCCAAATTTCAACAATCAGGAACCGAGAAAAGCTCACCGTTCCGCTTCCAATTCCAGACACGTTTGTTTGCAAGAGATGCTTGGTTTCTCCAAACAACTTCAGAGCTTCCGCGCGGGTCTTCGCATCTAAAGCCAGTCCATTCTGCGATTCCAGAAATTCACAATCGCAACCAAACAAAGAAGAGGAAAACGCTAGAAAAAGAAAGTATCATCGGAGCTGAAATTTTTGGAGGGCAAAACCTTGCAGAAATCGGAGAACCGAGCTTCGGCGGGGTCCACATTCCCGCCATTTACATCCGCCGTATGCGAAGCGTTGGGCGCGGAAATTGAGGGCTTAGAATCTGCCATCTTTACTCTTCTTCTTCTTCGTTCGGAGCAAATTGAATCTTCTGAAACCCTAAACCCTAGAACCAGAGGAACTAGTAAGAGCGCATTATATGGGAATTTCCGATAAAAATAGGAAATGACTACGGCTGATCTGATCTGGGAGGGAATGATACGAGAATAGGAGGGACTAAAGTTGGGAGGAGGGAAAAAGATCGCTCCATATTACCAATTTGCCCCTTTGTTGTTAAATTTTTTACTTATTTGGAATTCATAATGACTATATTACCACTTCCACTCTATTGACGACATAAATATTGTAATTTGTAGTACTATAAGCCTAAAAACAAGTAATAATTCCTTAAAAAAAGAATGCGAGTCAGGTTATTTTAACCGTTAAATTTATGTATTTTTTAATTTTTATGTAATTTTATATAAATTCCATAAATATTGTAATTTGTAGTACTATAAGCCTAAAAACAAGTAATAATTTCTTAAAAAAAGAATGCGAGTCAGGTTATTTTAACCGTTAAATTTATGTATTTTTTAATTTTTATGTAATTTTATATAAATTTAATGAATAAAAAACTTAATATATCGATATGTTGACGTACTAAAAAATGTCTTAAAAAATAAATAATAAGGACTTGGTTGTAGTCCCCATTCTGTAAGTGATGGACATGTCCCTATATGTTATCGTAACCGATTGAAAAATTAGCATAATTCTTTTATATTGAGTCGTAACAGTTATTATTTTGAGAACTAAAAAGTCATTTTTAAACATGTGAAAATAAACGACTGTCATGCGCATCTGTCATGAATAAAAGACATTTCAATAAATGATTGTCGTTTTTAATATGACTGATGATATACACATATGTCATTTTTACTATTAATATTAGGCATTTCATCGTAATCGACTATCGTTACTAAACATGAATAATATTATCATAGATAATTACATCTATCATACTTTTAATATGAATAATAATATTCACATCTACTATTTTTATTGTTAATATAAATCGTTTATTGTCATGCTTAAAAACCACTTTTAATTTATAAAACAATAACTATTACGACTAAGAATATTATCCAAGTCTTTTAGCCGATTATAATAAAAGGAATCTCCTCAACAAAAATGTTGTTGGTCCGCATAAAAGGCCAATTAATAAATATTATTGATAATAAAATATTAAAAGAAAAAAACAAACAAACAAACCGCGAACACGTAGAGAAAAACCCAAAGCTCATCTTACTTCGTCACCCTTCTTTTTCTCTTTTTCTTTTATTTTTTCATTCATTTTCTAGTCAGTTTCATCTTGTTAGGAAAGGGAATAAATGAAAATCATGTTCTTATATTAATAATATAATTGAAGTGTATTGCATTTTTATCTTAGATTTTATATCTTTCATTTTCTTAGATGTTTCCCTTAAACGCATCACCTTTAGTATTTATTAGGAGAAAAAACGTGTTTACAAAGACTTAACTATCTTTTTTTAAACAATATTAGGGAATGTTTGGTTAAAAGATTTATACCATGATTTGAATTATGGTTTATGATTCGCTATAATATTTTTCCTCACAATAAATATACGTAAATAAAAAATGGTTCTAATATCATAATTCTAATCATAGTTAATGTTTCCCTCGTTGTTTTCTTTCTCTTCTTTCACGCACTCTTCCCTTTATAGTCAAGACAAAGCTCAAAAATTGGTTGAGGAGGCTTGACTACTCTTAAATTATTAATTGAATTGTGAGTATCATAAATTTTAAAAATTATGTAATCCTTTCTTCTCTTTTAATGTTTGTCCTTTTATTTTGGTTTCTATTTATGTATAAAGATCTTTTTCCTTCCTCTTGATATATTAAACTTCGCTAGTATTGTACCCAAGCTATTGTTTATTTGAATTCTTTAATTTTTTAAGCTGTGTTTGGAGTTATTTTTGTTTTTATTTTTTATGTTTTTTGAGAAAAAATAAAAACAGGAGAAAAACGGTATTTGACATAATTAAAGATAAAAAATAGAAATGAAAACGATTTTTTAATTTAGTGTAAAATGGGAAAGAACTGATTTCTCATTTTTTGTTTTCGTTTTATTTTCTCTCGAGTAGAGAGAGACATTAATGTATTTTTTTATACTGAAAACAATCTCTTGATAAAACTACCAAACGCATTTTTAAAAATGATTTCTGTCTGAGATTAAAAACGTTTTCATTTTTATTTTCATATAAAAAATAAAATTATTTTAGAATGAGTTCTAAACGCACCTAATATCTTTCATTTTCTTATACGTGATTTTTTTTCCTAATATTTATTAAGAGAGAAAACATGTTTGCAACGAATTAACAACGCTTTCTTAAACAACATTATGTCTCATTCATTTTGCGAATTCGAGTTTTCAATTCTAGCTGAGATGTGACATTTTCTGAGAGTTTTTTACTGTATCAAAAAAAAAGTTAGATGTGACATTTTCTAAGAGTTTTTTACTGTAGAAACTTAGAACTGAAAACTCGAATCGGTGAAATAAACGAGACTTAAAAGTCGATATCCCCTCTTTGTTTTCTCTCTCTTCTTTCCCGCACTGCCCTATTTATAGTCGAAACATTGAAAATACTTGACTACTCTCATAATTATCAGTTGAATTGAGTCTAAATTTTAAAAATTTTGTAATCCTTTCCTCTCTTTTAATATTTGTCCTTCTGTTAATGTATAAATATATTTTTTTCTTCCTGTAAATATATAAACTTTGGGAGTGTTGTATTCTAGTTATTGTTTATTTGAATTTTTTGACCTTAAGTTGATAGATACAAGATATGTATATGAAATGATAGAGTATAAATATAAGTGTAAATGAAACTTTTTAAGAAAATTTTCATAGAATTTGAATTAGAAAATTTTAGCTTGTAAAGTATTAAATTTTACATCAAAATTAAGGGTGTAAATGAAATGTTTTAGAACATTTTACATAAAATTTGAAGCTCAAAAATTTTAGGGATATAGTATAAGAAAAAGGTAAGGCAAAATAATGAATTCTCGAAAATAATATAAAGAAGACACTTGATTAAGGGCTCGTTTTGAATTTTTTGGGTTGAACCATGTGTGAGGTCCTCTAGTTTGAATCTTTGTTTGGATGTGTGTAAAAAAAATAGTTAGGACTCTATGATTTCAAATAGGTAAAACCTAAGAGGGAGGTGAGTTCTCACTATTGAGATTGAGGTGGGTTCAAATGTCATATCGAGGTTTCAATCCAAATCTGATTTTTTATAGGATGTTTGGTTCATGGATTCAGAATTATGATTCAGAACCATTCTTGTTTTACGTGTATTTTTTATGAGAGAAAATACTGTAGCGAGCCACAAACCATGGCACGAATCCCTCTTCCAGTTCAAACCTATAGAACTCCCTTACCAAATGAACCGTAAAAAAGGAGTTGCCACTTCCATATGCCTCAGTTGGTTTCATTCTGGGTGAAAGGTGTTGTCACAGTCTCCTTTTATTTTCCAATTGCAAATAAGAATAGATAAGACCTTATCCAATGCAAATGGTAAAGTCAATGTCACATCTAGTCTAGTTTTAGAAAGTGTAAAAACTACATATTGAATAAGTTTTTCTATTGGGAAACTATAGAAAATAGATTTGCATTTAAAATTTATAAAAGTAAATAATAATAATAATAATAATCACCCATGTATAGAAATTAATAGTTTATTTTATATTTTCTAATTTTATCCTTTCTTATGGAATTTCTTTCTATTTTTTCTCTCTTTTTTCAAACTTAAATTCTCTCGCGATTTTAGTCTTGTGACTCCCAACAAAGCTCCTAAATATTATCTATGTTGCAAGGAGGTTTGAATTGTCACGATTCTGACCTCAAGAGCCATCGTCTTAGCTTTCGATTCTTAGCTATTGCTCGTCTTTATCATTGGTATAATTACCGTAGTCAGTCTTGCATGTCAATTAGTCTTTGTCACGACTTTGATTCTAGTTTTACCATCTTCTCCAATGACGTTAGAGTGGCAACAGTTGTGCTAATAGAGTTAGGGTTGTTATGGCAAAAACTAAATTAAATAGATTTAAGTAATGTTAGAGACACTAATTCAAATCTCAACTTTCGTGTACTAATTGATGTGAGTTATCATATTTTTATTGAATGTGCATACATTTTGATTCAATGTGCATTTCAATACATCTAATTTTTTATTTTTAAAATCTTTTAGTTTCAGATGTGCCTTATAAAATAATTTTTTTCCTTTAGGTTATCTATTAGAAAAACTTTTCTCAATGTGCATCTATTTAAATATTACTTTTTTTTCAATCATTTTTTTTAAATGTGGTTGTTACAAATAATTATTTTACCTAAACATCCTATTTTTCTTTTTTGTAATCTTCAATCAATAACACGATTTTCTTATGTGTATCTCTAAGTAAATTTCTCTTTTTGACTCTATTTATTAATTGTATACTATCTGCTATAAGAGACACCCGAGTTATTGTTTTTTGAACATTGCTCGGTTCCTTCTCTCCCTCTAATTGTAGAAAATTCCGCATGTATCCTTTTAGTATTGCTTTTACCGTTTTGCCCTCGGTTTTCTATTTATTCAGTTATTTTTTGTTGGGCTTTTTAGTCATTTCCATTGGCCCACATTTACTGAGTTGTTTTTTTTTCTTTGGTGGGAAAATAATTGTGTGCAGCGAGATTTAGAGTAAAACTCACATGTCGAAACCCAATTGCGCATCTTCTTAAGTGCTTTCCACGTGACATAATACAAACCGCGTAATAGACAACATAGCCATGTGTCGCCATTTTAATGATTAAGAAGAACGCGCTCACATGAAATTGAAGCATACGATCCTGTGCATCTCCTATTGTGGCCAACAACTTAACCACGTGTCGCACTTTGATTCGCGGGAAATAAGAAAGTAGCGGGGTCCACCTCTGGTTTTGCTGACACCGTTGTCCCTTACCACACGCTGGAAGCGCATCTTCTTCTTGCTCGTGTGTTTCACACGCCAATAACAGCCGCTGAGTTTTTAGATCTAATGGCCTGTGATAAATGCCAGATTATTTTTAGTTATTGTTAATTATTATATTTAATTACTACCTTATCATGGATTGTAGTCTGATTTTATCCATTCTAACACCATTTTGCACGAAAGTTCTAATACGACTTAGATAAAAATACTATAAATGATCAAATTAAATTCAAAAAAATACACTAAATAAAATAAAATCACGTCAAATTAAATTAAAAAATAAATTAAACAAAATAGGTTTATACGGGCCTATCGGCCTGATCCCTTCGCTACTACCACAAACCCCCAAAAAAGTTTCATTATTAAAGCTCTGCCACATATGTCGCACCACGAGCTCTTTGGGCCGGACCAAATAGAATTTGGGTCATCGTATTCTAACACGTTTCTTTATACCTTTTTTCCCCTTGCGTTTCTTTCTTTTTTTAAACAATTTACATATTAGTTATTTTAAATAGATCACATGCGTGACTTGGAATCATTTCGTTTTTCTTATGATTAAATTCAAAAATTCTCCCTAAACTATGACCCATGTAACGTTTTGCCCCCCGAAGTTTAAAACGTAACATCCGCTCCCCCGAACTTTGTTTTGTTAACAATTTTGCTCATTCTGTTACACTGAGTGATGGAATTCACCACGTGTCTATTATTTAACCCATATGAGGAGGGTAATATCGTAAAATATCCTGCAAAAACCACAAGTTATTAAAAAATGGATTAAAATGCAGTTTATCAGGGGGAATAAAATCTTCTTTGTTCAAATAATATCTCAACCAAGAACGAATGTTTATTTCACAAAAAATGAAAAAAGAAACCACAAATCAAAATGATGGCCATTGCCCCATCAAATCGCCACACCTTCAAGAATCACCGTCACGTGAGCAGGCCAACCCATCACGATCGTCCCCTCGCTCCTACCTCCATCGCCACCTCTTCAACGCCGCCACTGCCTAATATGTCTGAGACCACTGGAGAGAATGAGAAAAACCTAACTCCTCTCCCACATGAACTAAGATCTGTTAAGCCACCCTCTTCGCAAGTTGCCACGAGCCCAGATCCGGCAATCGCCATCGCACCATTGTACTAGATCTTCCCTTTCCACCATTGCAAGCTCTCCTCATCGAGCCTATCAACATCGTTGTGAGCTCTGCTTCACCTCTGCCATCGCCAGTTGCAAGACCCCTCATTCACTCGCTGAGCTAGCCTTCACCGTCATTTATGGTGTCTCGAAAGTCGACGGATGCACGAAAGGCGCCGATCTCCACCATCCGCTGCCACAATCACTGAGATTCTAAACAAAGATGGGTATAAGCGTAATTATACTTTCAAATCTCACTAAATAATGGACACGTGGTAAATTCCGTCACTCAGTATAACGAAAGGGGCAAAATTGTTAATGGAACAAAGTTTGAGGGGAGCAGATGTTGCGTTTTGAAATTCGAGGGCCAAAGCATTACAGGGGTCATAGTTCATGGGGAATTTTTGAAATTAATCATTTTTCTTAATTATTATTATTTATTTTTAAGTGATTTATTGGCCGATTTTTTGCACCGTTTTGCGCCAACTTTTTATGCTACACAGATAAAAAATATATAAATAATCTGTATGAATTATAACCATTTAAATACTATCTTGCACAAACTTTCTGATACTACTCACATGAAAATGTTGGGAATAATTCTATTGAAAATATAAATAAATATATGTTCACTTAAAATAGAAGCATATCACACCAAATTAAATAAAAAACAAATTCAAACAAAACATAATAAAACTAATTAAAAAAATAATAAAATAAGTTAAACTTTTTTGGAGTGAGAGGTATATTGTTTCTTCTTTTACCTTTTTTGGAAAACAATTTATATAACCGTTATTTTTAAACGAATCACGCGCACATTGTGTGTATATATGTGTGTAAATAAATATATATGCACATATAATAAACTTACAGCAATCTGCAGACTGATTTTTGATCGTGTATCATCATTTATGTTAACTTTTGAATATCATCTTCATATCTGTTTTTTTTAAATATTTTACTGCATACTCATTATTTCATAACTGAGTATTACATTATTTACTTCAATCTTATCATAAAATAAATAAACAAACATCCCCACCATAGCACATACAACTCACTAGTTTATTACTATATAAATCTCTTCAACTACTAAATTTAAAATCAAAATCAACTATCTTTCTACAAAAATTTTGTAGAATTATTTTTTAAATAATCTATGAAACACTTAGCACCCATTTGTTTCACATACTCAACTCAAATTATTAATTATGCAATAATGTTTTATTCTCACAAAAAATATGAATTTCAAACGTCAAAGTCAAGAATCATAATTTGAATGTACCTTCTAAACGAGTCCTTAATAATTATATAAATGAATTCATCATTATCTAGTACATAGCAAACTAATCAGAGTGTGTTTAGAGGATTAGTTCAAACCACTCTAAATTGAGTTCAAACAATATTTTTTTCTCATAAAGAATGTAATTTAAAAAGTTTTTATTACAGTATCATCTTTCATAAAATTTAATTTTTAATTAAAACTATTTAATTTAAATCTACATTTCAAATGGACCCTTAAATTCCTGCACGTTAATCTCTTTCTTTGAGCGGTGGACTCCACTTGTAGCATTATGCAAACCTTATAGTTATTATTATATTTTACTTTATTTTTTTTTTAGTTCTATCGGTGTTAATCACTACCACAGACGGTGAATTTTTTGCGATGGTCCCATTACAAGGAAACCAAGTACTACCCTTGAGAATTCATATATTTTTAATTGATCATGGTTAATTTGTTAACTATAGTGGTAAAGAATAACATTGTGTTTGGTAGGATGAAAAAGAGAGATAAAAGAAAATAGAGTATGGATTTTATAGAGGAAAATAAAATTTTAGATTATTTGGTAGAGAGGAAATAAAAAAGGAAGGAAAATAAGCTGTGTTTGAAATTGATCCCGTTTTTATTTTTCACGTTTTTTGAGAAAGAAAAAATGAAAACGTTTCTAAAACTGCGTTTGGCGCAATAAAGATAAAAAATAAAAATAAAAATAATTTTTTTAGTTTAGTATAAAATGAGAGAGAAATGAAAAATGACTTTTTCATTTTTTATTTTTTATTCTCGTTTTCTCCTTTCTCGATTAGAGAGAGAGAAACATAGATATTAATGGTTTTTTTACATCGAAAATAATCTCTTCATAAAATTATCAAACGTATTTTTAAAAATAATTTCTATCTGAGATTAAAAATATTTTTATTTTTATTTTTATATAAAAAAATAAAATTATTGTAGAACGAGCTCTAAACATTTCCGAAATTCTTCTTCTGGGGATGCATTGAATCGCAGTTCCATTTATACCCTCGGTTTGCTGACCAACCACAGACAGTATCCCACGCCGAGGAATGCGGTCAATGAGGACAATCTAGTAATTTCGATTCCAGGGAAGCTCACTCGCCAGTGGCGATTCCAAATGCTTCTTTCTTTCTTTCTTTCTTTCTTTCTTTTCTGCTCACAAATTGGAGTCATGCAAAAACCATTTTTCCCTCTCTAAAACCATTTCTTTGTCTCTCTCTCTCTCTCTCTCTCCTCTCTTTCTCTCTCCCAACAGAAAGTAACAGAGAAAAGAAAACGAAGGGTACGGCCATTTCATTCTCTTGGCACGCCTTATTACTTCTCTTCTCGAAGGGGGGAAAAAATGCTTTTAGAATCTTCGTTCAACGCTTTGCCGAAACCCATTTGTTTTTCAGGTTTTTTTTTTTTTGTTTTTGTTTTTGTTTTTTGAAGCGTAATTTGGGTTTTTAGGGTTTAACTCCGTGCGGTGCAGAGGATGCAGGAGCTGGAATTTTTTATTTTAACTTATTTTTTAATTTTTTTGGTGGTAAATGTTTTGCATTTTGCATTTTTGTGCGTTTGGTTGTTGAGAAAGTGAAAAACGAAAGTGCTGGTAAAATGGGTTTTCTGTTTTTGTTCTTTGTCAAATCTGTTAGTCTTCTTTTTGGACACTAAGGAAGAAAATGGTTTGCGGTGGGTTTGTTCAACCCTTTTTTCTTTGGTGGAAAGTGTTTTTCATTTTGCATTTTAGTGCGTTTGGTTCTCGAGAAACTGAGAAATGAAAATGCTGGTAAAAGGGTTTTCTGTTTCTTGTCTTTTCAAGTCTATAGTTTTCTTCTTGAACACTAAGGATGGAAATGGTTTCCATTGGTTTTGTTAAACCCATTTTTTTCTTTCGTTTTCTCTGAAACCAAACAGAGACTTTAATTTATTTAAATCTCACGCTATGACTCTGACTGCGCTTGCTGTGTTTTCTGTTTGCAGGGACTCTGCGTGGGGACATTTTCTCGTAGTTACAATTTGCGGTAAAAAAAGCGAACGATGACTCAGGTGACTTTACTTTTGCTCTTTTTGCATGTTTCTTTTGAGCGTTTGGTAGCTGAGAAAAGTGAAGGAAAATGTAGACCCCTTTCTTCTTTTTCCCCCGCATGAAAATATTAATTAAGAAGACAAAAAGTACATATCTGAGGAAGAAGATATGTGTGGAAGAAGAGCTAAAGCTCTTAGGAAACAAATTAGGGCTAAAGACAACTGTTTCTAAGCTAACAAGTAACCAAAATATTGTAATTTTTTGAAGTGTTCAAGAGAAAAGACCATTTTTAAAGGAGTTAGACTATGCAACCTATTTGGTCCAGAACAATACTGTTTACAAACAAAATGATTGTCATTACAAAATAGGCCTAGTTTTATTCGTTGTTACTCCTAACTGTCGTTGAACAGCTTTTACCCTTTTACTTTTTAGTAGCGTCCATCTTCATACTAGAATTATCAAAGCCATATGATGCTTGTCATTCTCTGTAGTAATATTTTCCGGCAAAATGTAAAAATTATTATTATTATTATTATTATTTTTTAATTTGAGTGGTGTAAAAATAGCTATCTGACCATTTTGAAGAAGTTAATAGTTCATGCTATTACTAGATTAAGCTTTCCCCTAATGCACATACCATAAGTGAAAATGCGTTCTACCTTTTGTCTTGGACCGGGGTTTTACATTGTGAAATCAGTCCTCTCTTATGCTAATGGTATTCATGTGTTCGAGTTACTTTAGATTATCCCATTTCTGTTAAGGTTTTATTTATTCTTTCTTGTAAAAGATGTTTTGTTTTGTATTTTATAGATGGAGGAAACCAATTTCTCAGACATTTATGAGGGGGAGATTGTAGGAATCAGATTTGGTTTGGCAAGTCATCGGGAAATTGTAAGTGGGAGTAACTTTCATCTAGTTGTTCTTTTATTGCCTCATTATTGGGAATGCAGAAGTAAACTCCAAAATAGTTTTATATTATGTAATATAGCTCGGCTAAGTACCTGCTTAATTACAGATTTGTAAATTTTAAAGTTGATATACATCCTTGCATACTTTAAGGCCCCGTTCATTTCACTGATTCGAGTTTAGAATTCTAGTTTTGCTACAGTAAAAAGTTCTTAAAAACAGTTACATCTAACTTTTTTGTTACAGCAGAAAGCTCTCACATAAAATCACATCTCAACTTGAATTAAAAGCTCGAATCAACAAACTAAACGGGCCCTAATACTTCCTAAACTAAAGCGTGATCATATTTTTTATTTTTTGTTTTTTGTTTTTGTTGGATGCAGTGTACAGCATCTGTTAGTGGATCATCTATAAGCCATGCTACACAACTTTCAAACCCTTTCCTTGGCCTGCCCCTAGAATTTGGAAAATGTGAATCTTGTGGTACTTCTGATCTTGGAAATTGTGAAGGTATGCAGCTGGTTCTCATCCATGTCTTTCTCACTTGTGTAAAGAAGTTCAATTTTAGAATAACTGATATGCAAACGTTTTCGTTTTAATGATTTATGAAATTTTATTTCCTTGGCACCGTGGTGGGAGTGCTTGCGTTTGCACCCGGGGTCCAAGGTTCGAATCCCGGAAACGGCCTCTCCTTCGGGGGGGTAAGGCCGCGTATATATGGGATTGAGCTTTCCCCCGAGCCTGTCATAGTACGGGAGCCTCTTTGGCACTAGGGTCCGCCTTTTTTTATTAAAAAGAAAGAAAAGGAGTTAACAAGCAAGTGACATACATTGATTACATAGCATATGTTTGGAAAAACTGACATATATGTTTTGGTCAGGTCATTTTGGATATATTGAGTTACCGGTACCAATATATCATCCCAGCCACGTTAGTGAATTGAAGAGAATGTTGAGCTTACTGTGCCTGAAGTGCTTAAAAATGAAAAAGAACAAGGTAATACCTGAGTTTTTCTCCAAATTTGTGAAGGTTATTGTAGAGTCATTGTTTTTTATTGAATTGAGAGTATAATACTATATTATTTAAAAAGAAAAGAGATATAATTTCCTTAACTAGTTTCTTATCTGAGTTTTTCTTCTATTGTTATTTATTATCATATCTTAAATAAATGAGAAAAGTGTACAACTGGCATTAGGGATCTCTAGCGCTTCTAAACTAGGTTAGCACATATTGTTAATTTAAAAACCAGAGGGTCTTTTTTAAACTATTCTAGCTCTGTGAAAGAGTTGCTTTATGTTTATTTCTCGTTTGATTTTGTGTATTTTTACAGCCACCTCGTTTTATATAAAAGATTAGAGTTAAAAGGTTGCAATTGGAAATTTATGAATTCACTGCTTGGTGATTCATGTTTGTATTATAAGGATTAGGGAATATATTGCTAGTTTTCCAGCCATTAGTTGTCACTTAAAGTCATTTTGACTGTATACATGTGTTTAGACTTTGAAGAGTACTTGTGGCCTACTTTATGGTTATATTATATATATGTTTATTTCCGTTCTAACTGTGGTTATACCTTTCAGTTTCCAGTCAAGAATGCTGGTATCGCCGAACAGTTGTTAGCTTCATGCTGTCAGGTGTGTATAAGTAGTTAAACTATTTTCTACTTGTTTTGAGTTTGAGGATGCTCTGATTTCTAATTGTATGAAACTATCTTGATTCTTTTTCACTGCACGTTATATTGGGGAACTATGGGTGCGTTTGGAATTGGTTTCAAAATGATTTTGTTTTCAATAAAAAGTAAAAATGAGATTGTTTTGAGAATCATTCTGGGACCTATTCTGAAATTGTGTTTGGTTGGTTTTTTAAGAGATTGCTTTGAGTATAATGAAAAAGTGAAATCTTGTTTATTAATTAATATATTATAATATTGTTGATAAGTACTAAAAAATGAAAAGAGAAAAGTGAAAACAACTTTCAACTGTTTTCTAATTCCTTCACAAAAACCATTCTTATTGTTTTCGTTTGCGTTTTCAAAATATTTGCTAAACAACGTCGTTTCGTTTTCATTTTCATTTTTTGCTTCTCGAAATACGTGAAAACCGTTTTAAAAAACGGTTCCAAACACGCACTATGTTATTCTTAACTCTCTACCTCTCTCTTAGTAAAATTTGTTGGGAAGAATATTTAATAGCAGAAATCATGGTATATGCTTTTGGATAGGTTTCATTGCCGTCTTCCAGTATATTTCAATATCTAATTTCTAGTTTGCAAATTCTGAAACTTTATCATTGGTTAAATTTGTACGCTCTAATCCATTTTTCTTTACATTATTGAGATGCTGTCATTCTTTGGTAAATAAAGAAAATTTATATAACACAACTTAGTGATGTAGCCGAGGGATTTGTATTACTTCGTGTTGATGATGGTGGGGATGTTGTTATTTTTGTTTTTATTATTACTCATTACTATTTTTGCCATAAAATGAAGCAAGAAAGTTAATTGTGTAGATGGCTTGTTTTAATATCTGAATCTTCATAGATAGTGGGCCGAGCTACATTACCATTTAATAAAAATTTCAATTTTCCGTTTCTTTCAAAAAAAAAAAAAAAAAATTCAATTTCTTAGAACATACCTCTGAGTATCAGTTTTTCTCATGATGCTTTTTCTTTCTTTCTTTTTTCTTATTTTTAATCTTGTGCAGGATGCCTCACAAGTCTCAATCGAAGAAGTTAAGAAAGATACTTATAGTCACTTGCGATTGAAGGTGCCATCTAACAAGAAATTACACGAGGGTTTTTGGAATTTCTTGGAAAGATATGGTTTTCGCTATGGTGGTTCTCCTGGAGAGGAGCTTTTAAGACGTACTCTGCTTCCTTGTGAGGTTTGTTCCTAATGCTCATGTTTATTGTTTATCTATGCTAATCCTTTAAAAAGGTGTAATTATTTTTGCTTGTTTGTGTTCAGGGATTTAGATTTTTAATCTTTGTTGCTCTACTTTTATGATTTATCTTTCTTTTGGAGATCTTTATGTTTGTTCCAGGAAGTTCAGTTCTTTCACATAATTCTCTTCACATATCTTTCATTTTTCAAAGTTGCAATTGGCAAACAACGACACACAGGGATCCCTAGTCATAGTAACTTTGTGAAGTAAACAGTCCTAGTATCTGTAAATGTTGTAATTTATTTCTTATCGTTTTTTATTGTTTGATGGGTTAGTTAGGTTGTGGCCTTTTTGCTTCGTTAGTTTTTTGTTGTCACAATGCGTATGATTGTAATAGATTTGGATGTATTTAAAGAAGATGTTGATGTGAATGCAATTAAATTGGCAAATGATTCATCGTTTTAAATGTTCTGTTGTGAACCGGTGATGCAAATAGAGCAATAACACTACTCCAAACACTCTGGAGTCTAACAGAAAACTGAGAAAGAAAGATTGAAAGCTGTAAAGTCTAGAAGCTCTTTTAAATGGAATGATTATAATCTGAAACGATTTAAGGTTTTCTCCTCTTTTGTTTTGTTTTGTTTCTTTTTTTTCCCCCTCATATATCCTTAGTGGTACCCTTTCTATAATAAACTTACCCCCCCAAACCAATAATAATAATAAAAAAAGAACAGAGAGAGAGAGGGTGAGAGACATGTGGAGTGTTTGGTATTTTTTTGGTTGTTTTTGAAAATGTTTCTGCTTTAGATAGCGTTTTGTTAGCAAATGCTTTAAAAACGAGAACGCAAACAAAAATGGTGATAATGGTTTTGGTTAAGGAAATAGAAAATAGTTTAAAGTAGTTTTCAGATTTCCGCATTTATTTTGCAAGGCATATAACTTAATACATGTTTTCAGAAACATACCCATACACAGTTTCAGTTTTTTCTTATACCTAAAATAATCTCTTAGAAAAAATAACCAAATGCAATTTCAGAAACAATCCTAGCACCATTCCCAAAAAATTTTCATTTCCATCTTCATTACTTGAACAAACGATTTTGAAAACACTACCCAACGAATTGCTGGTTTCCTAACTTGTGTATTTCAATAAAGAGTTTGGGAATTTTCCTTTAGCAATGTGATTATTGGATCAGAACCTTATTTGTTTGTGTGTGCATATATCTATTTATATTACCTTCTCCTGAGGATGGCTTGTTCCTTTATTTTTCTGTATTTTCTCTCCAATTTGTTTAATGACATATAGTGCAAGGCTTGATAGTGCAAGAGTTGTTTTTGTTTCTTGTAACAGTTGTTTGTGATTGTACTTGTGCTAAAAAAAATGTATTGGTTTTGATATATGTTTAATTTTGAAACTCCCAACAGGTCATGGAAATTTTCAAGAAAATCCCTGAAGAAACTAGAAAGAAGCTGGTTGGTAAAGGTTATTTTCCTCAAGATGGTTATATCCTTCAATATTTGCCTGTTCCTCCAAACTGTTTGAGTGTTCCTGAAATTTCTGATGGTATCACAATCATGTCAACGGTAAGAGAACAAACTAAACAGTTAGGTTGCCGAACTTGATTGTAATTATTTCTTGGTCGTTTTTTTAATAAATCTTTTTTGGTTTTTTGTTTTCCCATCAATTGCTGCGTTTTAGGATCCATCTACCTCCATGCTGAAGAAGGTTCTAAGGCAAGGAGAAATAATCAAAAGTTCAAGGAGTCAACCAAATTTTGAATCCCTTGAAGTTGAAGCTAATGAGTTGCAATCTATAGTCAATCAGTATCTTCAAGTTCGTGGTTCTGTGAAGGCGTCTCGTGATATAGATGCACGATTTGGGGTTAACAAGGAAGAGAAGAATTCTTCTAGAAAAGTATGGCTTGAGAAAATGAGGACATTGTTTATCAGAAAGGGTTCAGGCTTCTCTTCCCGCTCTGTGATCACTGGTGATGCATATAAAGCAGTCAATGAGGTTGGGATTCCGTATGAAATTGCTCGATGGATTACCTTTGAGGAGAAGGTTAGTTCTCACAATATGAAGTATCTGCAAGAGCTGGTAGACAACAAATTGTGCCTAACCTATAAGGATGGGTCATCAACATATTCGTTAAGGGAGGGGTCCAAAGGACATACATTTTTAAAACTAGGTCAAGTGGTTCATCGAAGGATCATGGATGGGGATATTGTTTTCATCAATAGGCCGCCAACAACTCATAAACATTCCCTACAAGCACTCAGAGTGTATGTACACGAGGATAATACAGTAAAAATAAACCCTCTTATTTGTGGACCCTTAAGTGCAGATTTTGACGGCGATTGTGTTCACTTATTTTATCCTCAGTCTCCTGCAGCAAAAGCAGAGGTTTTGGAGCTTTTTTCATTGGAGAAGCAAATCCTTAGTTCTCATAGTGGCGGTATGATATTACAGTTGGCATGCGACTCATTATTGTCTCTAAAGATTATGTTCAAGACATATTTTATGGACAAAATAGCAGCACAACAGTTGGTGATGTTTGCTTCATCTTCTTTACCACAACCTGCTTTTTGGCTGACTCATTCTGGTGACCCTTTTTGGACTGCCTTGCAAGTGTTGCAGACGGCTCTTCCTACATCATTGGACTGTTATGGGGATAGATTTCTTATTAAAGGAAGTGATATCTTGGTCCTCGATTTTAATAGAGATGTTTCTGTAATTAATGACATCGGGGCCTCTATTTGTTCTGAGAAAGGTTCTGAAGAAGTTCTGAAGTTCTTCAATGCTCTACAACCTCTGCTGATGGAAAATATTTTTGCACAAGGTTTTAGTGTGGGATTGGAAGATTTTTCCATATCGCAAGAGGTGATAAAAAATATTACAAAGGATATCCAGCTTATTTCTCCTTTGCTATACCACTTGAGGTCCACATACAATGAGCTGGTGGAGTTGCAATTGGAGAATCAAATTCGATTTGCTAAAGCTCCAGTTACGAATTTCATTCTGAAGTCATCAAGTATGGGTAATTTAATTGACCCTAAAAGTGATTCTGCAATTAACAAGGTAGTTCAACAAATTGGGTTCCTTGGCTTGCAAATCTCTGACCGAGGAAAATTTTATTCCAAGACATTGGTTGAGGATGTTTCCTGTCTTTACACAAGAAAATATCCCGAAAATGTAGACTATCCTTCTGCAGAACACGGATTAATTAGAAGCTGCTTTTTTCATGGTTTAGATCCATATGAAGAGATAGTTCATTCAATCTCTACTAGAGAAGTAATTGTGCGGTCATCAAGAGGATTAACTGAGCCTGGAACGTTGTTCAAGAACTTGATGGCTATTCTTCGAGATGTCGTCATTTGTTACGATGGAACTGTCAGAAATGTTTGCAGCAATTCTATCATTCAATTTGAATATGGCAGAGGAAGTGCTCGGAATTTATACCCTGCTGGTGAACCGGTTGGCGTGTTAGCTGCAACTGCAATGTCAAATCCCGCATATAAAGCAGTTCTTGATTCTAGCCCAAGCAGCAACTCTTCTTGGGAATTGATGAAGGTAATTTAAACTTTTGGGTAGTGAGTTTTGTTACGTTCTTGCTTTGTTTGAGTATAGTTGGACTTTGGTTTGTGGGAATGCATGATGTGGATGTTCTTGATAAAGTGGATTTGTAATTTGTGCTCTCCAGGAAATACTACTTTGCAAGGCTATTTTCAGAAATGAGCTTATTGATCGCCGTGTAATTTTATATTTGAATCACTGTGGTTGTGGAAGAAAGTATTGCCGAGAACAAGCTACATATTTGGTTCAGAATCAACTGAAAAAAGTCAGTCTTAAAGATACCGCAGTGGAGTTCATGATTGAGTATGTTCTTTTCCCTACCTTAATTATGTTATATTTCGTATTTGTGTCTACATTTGTTTTGTATTTTCCTTTGGTTTGTCTCGACTTTTTGACTTTTGACCATGTTTCAGTTCTTGATAGCTTTCTCCTCCGCCCCCCCAATTTTGTGCATAATAGACATAAACGTGATATGTAGATTAGGGATTTTGATACACATTGATTCTGCATAAGAAATGGAATGAAATTTAAATGCGCTAGATGTATGGTGATTGATTCGGTGATTGATTCTGTGCGTAATAAATGGAGGGAAATTTAAATGTGCTAGATGTATGATGATTCTTATGTTGATGTGATTATTGTCTGCAGATACAAAAATCAGTCTTCTTTTTCTGCTGTTGATATGAATGCAGGCCTTGTAGGTCATATTCATCTCAATGAGGTTGGCACAACTATTTTTCCAAATATCTTTAGTTTTTGTTTTCTCAATTCTTAACTGCTATTAATTGATTCTTTTTTCTTTTCTTTTCTTTTCTTTTTTTAATTTTTTTTTTGAGAGTATAACTTTTGACTAACTTGTGCTGTATTAAATAGGTGCTGTTAAAAGAGATGGATATTGGTATGAATGAGATTCTTCAAAAATGTGAAGAGGCTATTAATTCAGTTCGGAAGAAGAAATTAGGTAAACATTTGAAGAAAGCAGTTCTATCCGTCAGGTTAGTGTTGTATTCGACATGCGTGATCTTTTATGTTATTAAGAGAAGTTTCTATTGTGAAGAAAAATAAAAAGAATAAAAGAAGTCTCTACATATGTGGATCTGAAACGCCAGTCATCATTGAATATTCACCTCAGAAGTCAGGCCTTATATATTGAAGCAAATTCCTTTTATTTCAGTATATTTTTAGTCAATTAAGATTGTTATAATACTTCTATTAAGTTATATAATAACCTTCTGTGTTCTTGTGTCGTCTGAGTCATCTATTGGTATTACTTTGTAGACGTCATTATACAATTGGTAGAGACAACTTATGATCAGTGCTTTCTCCCTTGCAGTGAATGTTGCACTTTCCATAAATCTGGTTTGGATGGAACATCTGAATTCCCATGCTTATTAATTTCTATTCGCGAGAATATGAATGATACGCTTGAGGAATCTTCAAAGATTCTTGCCGACTCAATTTGCCCATTTCTTTTGGAAACAATAATCAAAGGTGACTTGAAAAGTAGTTCTATTTCAGACTTGGCTTTATTTGCTATACTCTAGCAGTAATTATCATCTAAAAAAACATTTTTTTTTTGTTTGTTCTGGAGATACATTCTTCTCCTTTTTGTTCTTTTACTTTTTCTATATCTATTAATGACAGTTCAATATACTTGTGAAAAGATTCATAGAATCAATCGTCTCGTAGTCTTTGAATTTGTTTCTCCACTTGCTTCTTGCTGTCTGGCTTGTGTGACGCGCTACCTAAGTTTTCTCACTTTTTGGGAACTTAATAGAAGAGTGATGGTTAACGATCATTTGTGTTGTCTTCGATGATATGGAAGGGTAAAGCTATCACTAATTTAATGTCAACTATTGGGATTTTGGTCCATTGAATAATTAGGTGACTCTCGGATTTCGTCAGCAAAGATTACGTGGCTTAGTTCAGATACAACTTCAATAAGGAGTCCACAGAATTCTGACATGGGTGAATTGGCCGTTGATGTTGTTTTGGATAAATCAGCAATCAAGCGAAGTGGAGATGCATGGAGGATAGTCATTGACTCTTGTCTTCCTGTATTGCATTTAATTGATACTAGGCGTTCTATTCCATACGGCATTAAACAAATCCAGGAATTGCTAGGAATTTCTTGTGCTTTCGATCAAGCGGTTCAGGTAATATTATGCTAAACTCTTTTAACTGGACTTTGCTGTGTAACTAACTCTAATAGAACTCCTTTTTTTTTCCTGCATAAGAAAAATATGTTTTTTCTTTCTTAATATTTGATCTCCGTCATAGCCTTACTTTTCTCATGACCGCTTGAAAAATTTCATAATTTAATAAAGTGCTCTTTTTAACGTTTTACTTATTTTTGGCTTCCTTTGTTGTGTCAAACCTTCTCTGTTAACCTAGTGTATATCATATGAAGTTAGTCTATTCACCCAGGAAAGTGGAATCTGTTGACCCAATTGTATATGAGATAGCTTATTTGAGTTACATTTTTGTTGTTGACTTTATAGCGCCTTTCAACATCGGTATCAATGGTGAGCAAAGGCGTTCTCAAAGAGCATCTCATCCTCTTGGCAAACAGTATGACATATGCTGGAAATTTGATTGGCTTCAATTCTGGTGGTTATAAGGCGCTAACTCGGTCATTGAATGTTCAAGTTCCATTTACTGAAGCTACACTAATTGTAAGAAATTGAAATTTTGTCTAATTTATTGAAGGAATAATAATAATTGTGCTTTGGCCATTGTGATGGATGAATATCAAATTTTTTCTCATTTCACATTTTTTCTATTGTTTAAGACACCAAAAAGATGTTTTGAGAGGGCAGCTGAAAAGTGTCATGTGGATTCTTTGACGAGCATAGTTGCGTCATGTTCTTGGGGTAAGCACGTTGCAGTTGGTACTGGCTCAAGGTTTGATATCCTCTGGGACACAAGAAAGGTATTCGTGAATTTAGTGTCTTGCTGTTTTAGTCATTTTAACTTTTATTCAACTCTTTTATCAGCTGCTGGAATAGTTTACATATCATTTTGCTTCTCTTCTTTGCCAGGTGGAATTTAATCAAGCGGGTGGAGTTGATGTCAACAATTTTCTTCATATGGTGAGCACTGCATATGGAGAAGAAGCAAGCACTGCCTGTCTAGGTGAAGAAATTGATGATTTGATGCCAGGAGACGACATTGCAGAGTTGTGTCTCTCACCAGAAAACTTCAATTCTGACAGGCCAGTCTTTGAAGATATTGATGAATTTCAGGATATTTCAGAAAAGGATTTACCTGGGAAATCGAGTTGGGATAATCTGTCATCTTTCAGATCTGGGTCTAGCAGTGGTAAGGAATGGGGCTCTAATAATAATGTTGGAACTAAGTATGATGTTGGGTCTAGTTGGGGAACGGCAAATAAAGAAGAACAAGAGGTGATCCCGTCTAAAGGCGAGCCCGATAATTCCTGGTCAAATGGTTGGGAAAATAAAAACTCTGGACGTATGGAGCTTGAAACAATGAAGTCTGATTGGAGAGGAGACGCAGATGAAAGACATAATCCCTTTTCTTCAAAACCCCAAGAGTCGTCTAAGAGATCTGATGTTTGGGATGCCACTCCTGGGTGGGGTACAAATACAGCATCGGAAAAGGTTTCATCTAGTACAGGGTGGAATTCTGAAAATATTTCATCTGGTGCGGGATGGAGTAAAGCGGATTCAGATAACAGCCATGCCAAAGGGTGGAATTCTGAAAATATTTCATCTGGTGCGGGATGGAGTAAAGCGGGTTCAGATAACAGCCATGCCAAAGGGTGGAAGTCTGAAAATATTTCATCTGGTGCGGGATGGAGTAAAGCGGATTCAGATAACAGCCATGCCAAAGGGTGGAATTCTGAAAATATTTCATCTGGTGCGGGATGGAGTAAAGCGGGTTCAGATAACAGCAGCCATGCCAAAGGGTGGAATTCTGAAAATATTTCATCTGGTGCGGGATGGAGTAAAGCGGATTCAGATAACAGCCATGCCAAAGGGTGGAATTCTGAAAATATTTCATCTGGTGCGGGATGGAGTAAAGCGGGTTCAGATAACAGCCATGCCAAAGGGTGGAATTCTGAAAATATTTCATCTGGTGCGGGATGGAGTAAAGCGGGTTCAGATAACAGCAGCCATGCCAAAGGGTGGAATTCTGAAAATATTTCATCTGGTGCGGGATGGAGTAAAGAGGATTCAGATAACAGCCATGCTAAAGGGTGGAATTCTGAAAATATTTCATCTGGTGCGGGATGGAGTAAAGCGGGTTCAGATAACAGCCATGCCAAAGGGTGGAATTCTGAAAATATTTCATCTGGTGCACGATGGAGTAAAGCGGATTCAGATAACACCCATGCCAAATCTACTGATTGGAACACCACGTCTGACAGAACAAAGACGATGACAAAAAATACTTGGTCTGGATGGCATGGAGAAAAATCTGAAAAGGAAGATATCCTCAGTACAAAATCCCAACAAGATTTACCAAGAAACAGTGATTGGGGAGCTGTGTCGAATCGAGAAAACAATGCTGAACGTGCTTATGAGTTTGTTTCTAAGGACCAGCCCTTGCCCGATCAAGTAAGCGAGCCTTGCGACTGGGATAACAAGTTGACTCCCCAAAAAGCAGTATCTGGTTGGCTTTCTTCAAATGATGAAGGGTGGACCAAAGATGCAAATTCATCAGAGAGGAAGGAACCTACTGACTCTCCTGTTGTATATAATTCATGGGAAAAGAGAACGTCTTCTGAAATTTCTCAAAATGTGGAATCAGCTAGTTTCAATAGTTGGCTACCACGTGCTGGAGATGGTGGTGAAGTTGAAAAACCTAATGAGTGGGTAAAGAAAAGTGGGTCATTCAAGAAAAATCATGGTGAGACGTCAGGGGGTTGGGGTTCAGATTCTGGTGACTGGAAGATAAAGAAGAATCACCCTGGTAAATTTCCTAGGATGAACAATGACAATACCTCGGTCAGACTATTTACAGAAACAAGACAGAGATTGGATCTGTTCACATCTGAGGAACAAGATGCCCTCTCTCTCATTGAACCAACCATGAAGTCCATCAGAAGAATTATGCATAAGTCTGGGTACGCTTCTAACCGAGAATCTTTAAAATTGAGTCCCCTCTCTCTCTCTCTCTCTCTCTTTTGATATCCAGAAATCCCTGAAGCCACTTTATGAGCCCGATTTTGAAACTGGAGCCTTCTGCAAGCCTAGAATCTTTGAAAATTGAGTCACTCTAAATGGCAATTACCTTCTTCTTCTTCTTCTCTTTTTTTAAAATTTTGTTTCTATTTTTTTTTTTTTAAGAAAACCAAGATACAATGAAAATTGGCCGTTATATCACACAAATAGGAAACTATTCTGGTCTTTCTTCTACGTCTCGCAACAAATTAATAATAGAGCCTTTTGGGGTATTGCAACTTTTTAAATTTGGGAATTTGATATCCCACTTTCAGGACTTAGGACGGGGAGAAATAGATTGGGTCTTGATTCATGAATCATGTTAGTAATGCAGTTCTTCATGAATCGTGATCTTTTTCCTTAGTTCTGAAGATCAAGTTCAACCAGCCTTGGACTAGGTTTTGTTTCTTTTTCATTGTGATCTGAGTGGATGTTGGCTCGTTAACTGTTTAAGGGATATATTTTACCCGTACTGTTTTTATCTTGTCCACTTTTGGCCAGTTAAGTGGAACCAGGGTATTCTGTTTGCTGTTAGCTCATGAAATTTGTCTCATGGTCTGTAATTTTATTTTGGAGCATTGTCACCAGATAGTGCCCGTTTTAGTTTGGTGTCTTGTTCTTCAATTTCATCATCCGCACCTCTTTTGTTATCTAAAATATTTTATTTGCTTGGCACAAGTAACAACCATGTTGGTGTTTTTCATGTTGTTTTTATCGATCTTAATTCTTATGTTTATCGATTGTTGTACATAGGTACAATGATGGGGACCCAATTCGACCTGAAGATCAATCATTTATAATTGACAATGTCTTCAATTACCATCCTGATAAAGCTGCTAAAATGGGTAGCGGAATCGATCATCTTATGGTATGTACATATGTTGTGTGTGTGCGTGTGTATGATTAGTATATCTTTTGATTTCTTTATCATGTGTTCATGTCATTCGCTATTGAAACAGAATATACATATATAGATGCATCTCAATTTGATGAATTAGATAACGGAATCTTTTCTTCATATGGGGGGTTTGAAAACCATAGTGCTATGAGGGTTAGATCTTGTTTAGCTTGGAACCCTTAAACCTTGTTTAGCTTTTTCCTACAACGTTCCATGGTAGGTTAGATCTTCATCTTCAATTAGAGAATTGCATTAAGCATTTTAGCATGAATTTAGTCTTGTTAGTTTTTGAAATTTGTTGTGGGGTGGACAAGTACGAGGGAAGACCGGTGTCTAGACCTAGCAGCTAGTACTTCTGAAAAGCCCACCCAAGGTGGGATTTTTTTTTTCTTCTCTCTAGAATTAAGGAAAACCTCTTTTTTATTTTTTTAATCTTAATTTACAAACTTGCTTCTTCGGCATGGATTTTTGTTTTGTGAGAATTAAACATTATTCTATATATATGGAGGCTTCCGTGTCATATTCAAGCAACTTAAATTGGCATTACAGATTAGTAGGCACAGCAGTTTCCAGGATAGCAGGTGCTTGTATGTAGTCTCAACTGATGGTCGTAAAGAAGATTTTTCATACCGAAAATGCCTGGGCAACTTAATCAAGAGCAGGTTCCCGGATGTGGCTGATGAGTTCCTTGACAAGTATTTTAGGAAACCCAAACCCGGAGGGAATCAAGATCGGATCTCGACCCCGGAGCCAGCGTGGAACAACACCCAGGCTCCCACCCCAGAGCCGTCGGGGAACACCATGGCTCCGACCCCGGAGCCATCTGAGATAGAGAAGATGTAATTGGCTTAACATTGCATTCCTTTCATTTGGGTGTTTATTTAGGACCTTCTTTCGTTACATCAGATTGTAAATACATGCGGGTTTTCCCCCATCTGCCGTTTTTATTTGTACATACTAGCAGATGGTCTTGTAATTATCAGCTCCACCAGTTATCCGTGTTTTTTTTTTGCTTTTTTGTTTTTTCAAGTCATCTTATGATTGTAGAACATGATATGATTTAGGTGAAAAAAAAAAACCCAGAACAGGATGAGTTCAAAGTTGAGAAAATCAGAACGCTGATCTATTGAAGGACCTTCACTAGACAGATAAAAATCGGTTGTAAACTGTGATAAAAATCGGTTGTAAAGTGTTCTGTTTTTATCCATGAAGTCCATTTCTGACTGGTTAGGTTTCAAACGAGAGAATGAAATCCATTTCTTTTCCACATTTCTCTAATCTCTTGAGCCAAAGATCTTTCTAGTGCAGCATTTATGCGATTATTTCACCTCTAGTCAGGTTTCTTATTATTTGAATCATTAAAAGTGCAAGTCAAACCCACTTTTATCAATTTTTATGTACATAATATTTATTAAATTTTCAATCCCTTTTTAAGAATAGAAGGTTTTAAGTGCCAAATTTAAAGAATTTGGAGGTGGTTTCTCCAAAGTTAAAAGTAGAAGGATTAAAATGTTACCACTAAAGAGTTTAGGGACCAAAATGTAAATAACTCTATTTTTTCCCCTAATACATTGTCCTTTCCTTTTTGAGTTGCACAACGATCACGTGCCACATTAAAATTCTGAATTAACATAACATCTTCAATGCAAATGTTAATATTAATTGTATATTTGATAATAAAAAGTAAGATATAACATATTATTTTTTATTTGTGCTTTAATATATAATATTATTTGAAATATTAAAAATATATATTTCTTATAATTAATTAGGAATTTCTTTGATGTGACCCTATTTTTTAGACCACAGGGAGTCCAAGTAAAAAATGAAATTGACTCAACTCTCATTGGCTGACAAAGTGCATGTACATTATATATTGGTTTAGTTTAGTATTGCTGTAGATTTTAGAAAAATTGATTTTAGATGTGTTGAAAGAAAAAACAGCTGAGTGTTTGGTAAACTATAATTATAATAGCTGTGCTTGTTCTAAAATCAGTGTAATAATATTTGATAAATTATGAGGTTGAATTGATATGGATAGTTAAAAATTACGACTATATTATATTATATTATAATATAATATATATAATTACAATATATTATATTTAATATAATAAAAAACTATTAATATATAATATATTATATAATTATGATATAGAATCTAATAATAATATTAAAATAATAACTGAAATAATTAAAAATTATGATTATATTGTACATAATATAAGATATAATTACAATGTAATGTACATATATTATTATATTTAATGTAATATAATAAAACTATTATTAAATAACATATTATATAATAATGATATAATATAATAATATTATTAAAATGGTTAATAAAATTACAATATTATAAAACACATTATAATATTACATAAGAAATATTTGCAGTTATAATATAATTAAAAATTATAATTATATTATATTATAATATAATATAATAATTATCATATTATATTCAATAAATATATTGTAACTAATATATTATATAACTATAATGTGTAATATGATAAAATAATAATATTAGTGTTATTAATATAATTATGATATTATTTGTTATAATATTATTATTATATTATATATTATTATATTATATTATGGCTTAGTTTGGTATTGCTTTTCTCTTCTAAAATCAGCTTCTGCTTGTAGCAAAAGTTAATTTTAGTGTTTGGTAAATATTCTCAAAAGTGCCTTTTAAAGAATTTTTCAAGAATTTACAGCCAAAATCAGAAGCAGCCTAAAGACAACTTTAGCTTTTAGATTGTGCGGGAATTAACATAGTACAATTAATAAAACTTTCATAATATCCATAATACCCCTAATGAAATTTAAAATTTACAATCTTCCCAATATAAAATTGATACTGATAATATAATATAATATAATATTGTAAGAAATAATATCATAATTATATTAATAACTCTAATATTATTATTTTATCATATAATATGATATTATAATAATATTATAATTATTTTAATAATATGATATTATAATTATAATATGATATTGTAATTATTATTTTATAACATATTATATATTATATATATTATATTGTATTGATATAATTATATTTATTATATTAATAATAATACAATAATATTATTACATTATTATTATATATTGTCTCTGGTTAGGCACCTGGAAAGTGCCTATCTGGAACAACAGCTGTATAATTCTGTATAAATCGTGTATATTTACATTTAAAGTCGTGTATGTTAAGTTATAAGAAACGATAATGTATATTAATCCTCAAAACATGTATTTTTTATAGCAATTAGTGAGCACATAGCATGAAAATATGTATATTGGTTGATTTGTTGTATTTCATGATAAATATACACGAATTACATGTAAATATACACAATTTACATGTAAATATACATGATTTATGCATAAACATATAACTGTCGTTCCGGTCAGACACTTTCCAAGTGCCTGACAGGAGACCTTGTATTAGACACATTATGGTTATATAATATATTAATTATAATATATTTATTTAATACAATATAATAATGATAATATAATATAATATATTATAATATGATATAATTGTAATTTTTAATTATATTATAACGAAAATATTAATATTTTTTATGTAATATTATAATATGTTTTATAATATTGTAATTATATTAACTATTTTAATAATATTATTATATTCTATATCATAATTATATTATATATTATATAATTATAGTGTTTTGTATTATATTAAAATTAAATATATTATATTATACTTTAATATAATATAATTGTTATTTTTAATTATTTTAGTTATTATTTTAATAATATTATTATTTTCTATATCATAATTATAGAATATATTATATAATAATAGTTTTTTATTATATTAAATATAATAATAAATATATATTATATTGTAATTATATATATTATATTATAATATAATCGTATTTTTTTACTATTTACAGCAATTTAATCTCATAATTTATCAAACGTTATTACACTGATTTTAGAAGCAGCACAGCTATTATAATTATAATTTACTAAACACTCAACTATTTTTTGTAACTGTTTCTTCCTTCAATACAGTTAAAAGTAATTTTTTTAAAATCTAGAGCACTACCGAACTAACTATTTATATACGAGTTTAAATTTTAAATTTGAAAGATTGTAAATTTTTTTTATTTACCTTTAATTTAATTTCTTAATTTCCCATTTTTTTCGTTGATTCGAGTTTTATTACAGTAAAAAACTCTCAGAAACAATCACATTTAACTTTTTTATTATAATAAAAAATTTTCACACAACATCACATCTTAATTCGAATTAGCGAACCGAACGAGCCTGCCCTAAAATATAAAATGTGGGTAATGCGAAGTCACAAAAAACTGTCAATTCCATCGTCAAGCACAAATCCATCCTTCTTTGTTGAAGATCCAAGAACCAGGCATCATCATTGACGACCTCGCCGTCCGGCGAAACTCATAACGTGGACTATTAGTTCGGCGTCTACCTAAATTAAGGCTGAGCGATAGAATCGGAGTCAATCCCTTTTCTCAACAAACTCAAATGAAGATCACGAGTATGTGAAGGATAAAGTAGAGAACAGTGTGAAGTGGAAAAAGGTGATGGAGACGGATGGAAGGGAGAAGTAGAGATCTATTCTTTTTTTTTTTCTGGGCGTAGATGTCTTGGCAAAGTACATAGATGATTGTTTTTTTTTTTTTTTTTTAAATAGAGAAATTGTTGGCTTCTTCATCCTTCTTTCTGTTATGTGTTTGTTCTACAGATCTACCATGAAAAAAAAAAAAAAAACTAAAACTATTTGTTAAAAAAATGGAAAAGTAATTGAGATAGTTGTTATGTGTATGATGTTGGAATATTGCAAGAGCCGTCAAGGATTTGGTCGCACTATTGGATATGGTGGGCTTGGTGGTCGGCGGTGAAGATCTGGAAACTTTTTCCTTCTTTTTTTGGGGTGCAAAGCTGTTGATTTTCGACAATACTGGGTTGAAGATGGGAAGGTTTCAAAAAATAAAAAAATGTAGCTGAGAAGGTAGCCTAAGGAAGTGTTAATTTAAAAAATTGAAAAATAAGACTAAATTCAAATAAAACTAGACTCGTTAATTTATTTGAGTTTTTAATTACAGTTAAAAATTTTCATAAATTATCATATTAGTCTCATTTATTTTACCGATTTGAGTTTTTAATTTTAAGTTTTTACAATAAAAAATTTTTAAAAAATGTTACATCTAATTTTTTCTGCTACAGTAAAAAATTCTTAAAAAATGTCACATCTCAACTCAAATCTGCAAAGTGAACGAGGCTAGTCTAAAATAAGGTGGGCTACTTGAGAAATTCGTTTTAACTTTAAAAGTTATAGATAAATTTTTAATTTTAAAATACGAGATTTTTTTTGGTACGTTAATATACCGGTAAATTAAGTTAAAATTACGTAATTTTAACGGTTAAAAAAATGTGACGTACTATTACGTTAGACGTATTAAAAAATCTTCTTTAAAATAATTTAAAAAAACAAAAATTATATTAATTAAATAAAAAAGTAACCATATTAATCAAAGTGTTAAATTTGTGATATATTATATTTGATGAAAATAACTTTATTATATTAAATAATGTTTTTAAATTTTAAATTATAAATTTATAATTGTCCAATTATAACATGGTATTATTGGTGATATTTGCGGTGATCCACAAGATGAGCTGGATATTCCGTTGTTATATTCCTCTCTCTCTCTCTCTCTCTCTCTCTCCAAGTAGGTTTTTTACTTCCTTCCCTCGTGTCTGAGCAACAGATTTTGTTGATTTGGTTAAGTTCTGGGCAGCTACTTTTCTCAACAGACGGACGATGAGTTGTTCCTTGATGGGTCAGCTTGTTTTTCCCTCGGAAAATGGCCACAAAGTGTGGGAAGACCAGTCTTTCATCAAGTGGAGGAAGAGAGACCCTCATGTCACTTTGCGTTGCCATGAATCACTCGAGGGTATGATTCACAACAACCCAAAAAAAAAAAAACAAAATTTTTTCCTTTTCCTGTTTTGTTTTGAAGTATTATCACCTGGGTGTGGATTTATTTTTGGGTTGAGTTGGATAATTGGATTTAGTTATGATATTTCAATGTTATATGGTTGTAGTTCCGTTTAATTGCAATTGCTTATTCTGGGTGTCGTAAACAAGTGATTTCATTTTATCCATCCTTGTCGAATTTGTCAAATTGAACTTAGCAATTGATTCTTTTCAAATGAGTGCTTGTTTCCGGGTTAATTAAAATGATTGTTTGATATAACAACAAAGTTCAATGTTTTCTCTAATTGTAGAATTACAATTTTCTTGTCTTTTCAATTTTATTCTTCTCTAGGATTTAAGGGTGTGTTAGACCAAATACGAATGCCAATGCCTTAATGCTATATGTGGTACAACAAAGTGAAAATGCATATTTAATATGTTATTCTATTTTGTACTTCAATGAATAATGCTATTCCGGATGATGTTTTGTCATAATTAATAAGCTTTGAAACTTGTAAAAGTGAATTTTTAACTTCTAAGTTCTAAATGATTTGAAAATTACAATGTTGTAATTATTTCATGAAAATGACATTGCGTTGGACAGTGGCTTTCCTAACCAAATGCCAAAATTTAGCATTGCCATATTGTTTTGGCGCTACGTTGTAAATGCTCTAAATTTGTTTGAAAGTTTGATGCTTTACAGATGGACTTGTATAAGTAGGATGAGTTCGGGTAGACTTGTATAATTGTCGAAATGCTTTATAGGCAGATTTAGATATGCTTAAGTACAATTCCTGCAAGTTTATTTTGAAAGAATCCCGTGAAATCATGGAAAGCACATTAGAGTTGTTAATCAAGGTAGATGATTTCCGCCTTGAGCAAGTGCAAGCAGGTCTATCTTTTGAGAGTGATACCCATCATATGGATGCAATGTGAATTGACAATGTTCTATGGCCTAACCTGCCCCTAACTGAAATTCGTAACGGTCCAGAACTAACCTTCTATTCTAGTGTACAACTATGGAAACAGTAAAAGGTTTTATCTACATTTCTTTACCATAAGTAGGGCTTCATAATTAACAGTGCTGACATCTCTTATTGAGAATAGCTTTAAAAGTGGTAACCACTTTATCAATCCAACATATGGACGTAGTTTCAAATCATTGATATTGAAACATAGCTTCACATTTGAAGAGTTTGGTTGCTTGATGTAGGAAGATGCGATCTTAGTGTGGTCTTGATCCACCACTGGCCCTTTTGGAATTCTTAGCTCATACACGACTAAATGTCCTTTATCATCTTCAAATATATTTTAACTATAAAATTTTCATTGCTAATTTATCTACCTTTTCCCTTTCCTTATATAGTTTATTTTATGTCCATTAGGATCTCTTAAATACTGGTATGAACGAAATAAGGTGAATTTTTTGGTGGCCAACTCTGCTGTTTGGAATGATGATGCTGTGCATGGAGCGCTTGATAGTGCTGCTTTCTGGGTCAAGGATTTGCCTTTCATTAAATCTCTATCCGGGTATTGGAAATTTTTATTGGCCCCCAGTCCTAACAAGGTTCCTGAGAATTTTTATGATAGTGGATTTCAAGATTTTGATTGGGGAACTTTGCCTGGTAAGCATATATATCATTTCTTTTCTATTTTTTATTTTCTGCAATGCAAATGTAGATATGTATTTACTTGCAAATTGCATGTTTTGATTGCTGCTACTTGTCACTATGTGTTATTGCTTTTTTGCATTTTAGATCAACTCGTTATCAATACATGAACTTATACAAGTTTAAATCTAAATCGTACGAAATTATTCTCTATGGTCTCTTGTTAGCTTTGTATTTGAAAGGAAACGTGGTTTTAGTTCAGTTGTGAATTCATTAAAATCCAGTTATAACACTTATGTTAAATCTCACATACGACACTGTCAACTTCAGTGGCTGTAAGTTAGGCAAGTATAGTTACGTAATTGCTTGTGCAATCATATTAGAATATTCACCATGTTGATCTTCTTGTTGAATGACTGATGACTATTCTGTTCATAGGAACTTTTTAAAGCTCTATCATTTTTGTTTTTCTAGAGGACTATTAAGTAGCCTTTTCATGTTATGGAATTTATGACGTAAAAATTGCAATTCTTCTATGACTCATTTTCTCTCTAATGGAACAGTTCCTTCAAATTGGCAGATGCATGGGTTTGATAGGCCAATATATACAAATGTTGTCTATCCGTTTCCTCTTGATCCGCCATTTGTCCCTGAGGAGAACCCAACTGGGTGCTACAGGAAATATTTCCGTATTCCAAAAGAATGGAAGGGTATGATCTGCTTTAAGTGCATCAATAATCTTCACTGATTTTTGTTCTTGTTGGTGCTTGGTGATCTCTCTCTCTCTCTTTATTTTTTTTCCCAAACCGATATGCTATAAGTAACATTAATTTACCCTTTGTACATAGAGAATATGATTTGATTTGACACTTTTTTTTTCTTTATGTTTATTGATCCATAGCACCAATAGAAGATAAGATGCGGGAAAATCATCTGAAGTGGTATGGGCATGTACAACGTAGATCGTTAGATGCACCTGTTCGTGCTTAGGAGAACATCCAAATACCTAGTATTAGGAGAGCGATGGGTAGACCAAGAATTACTTGGGCTGATGTAGTTAGGCACAACTTTCAAGATCTAGGGCTTCAGGAGAGTCTCGTGTTTAATAGAGCAGACTGGAAACGAGAAATCGATATAGCTCAATTAATTTGGGATTAAGGCTTGTATTTGTTGTTATTGTTTGTTGTATGTTTATTGATCCATCCCTTGTAGTTTATCATAGAATCTGCATTACGTTAGATGCCTGAAATGAATGTTTGCTCCTCATTATTGGACGCTTTTGCTCATTTTGTTTTGCATGACTAAGAATTGGTCCATCGTTGTTAATTTAATATGCATCTACAAAAGGCTTGCCTGGATCCTAATTTGAATGTAAAGATGCATATCTGACCGTTTATGTGAGCTTAAGTCATCTTTGGGTTTTGAAATAAGACTTGCAACTTTAATGGTTATTGTAAAGTTAAACTCCATAATTATGAAAAATAAAAGATTTTCTATATGTATCTCTTCACTTGATATTTCGTACCCCTACCAGTCTTTTCACCGCTGTGTTGTTAAATTCTTGTTTTCTTGAACTGGCATATATTAACTGCAATGTAACAGGTCGTAGGATTTTCTTGCACTTTGAAGCTGTTGATTCTGCCTTCTTTGCATGGGTGAATGGAGTCCTTGTAGGATACAGGTAATTAATACTTCAGGAGTTTTACCGTAACCATCATTTCCTCAGGTGCAATACTTTTCATCTTCGTTTATGGAGTACTCCCAAAAGTGATTCATCTGTCAGATGCGTTAACATACTCTCCAATTTTGTGCTAGATCAGTCAGGATAGCAGACTACCTGCTGAATTTGAAATCACAGACTATTGTCATTCCTTTGGTTCGGAGAGTGAGAATGTTCTAGCCGTTCAAGTATTGAGATGGAGTGATGGATCTTACCTCGAAGACCAAGACCATTGGTGGTTATCCGGTATTCACCGGGATGTGCTTCTTCTAGCCAAGCCACCGGTTTGTGTTCATGAATGAAACTTATGTACATTCTGCAAGCTAGTATAGCTCCTTTCCTGGGCTCCCTGTTTAGATTCTCTCTCTCTCTCTCTCTCTCTCTGGACTAACTTTAGCTCAAAAAGATCGGCCAGCCATTTTAGGACTGGCTGGACACTTCTCTCCTTTCTTCTCTTCCTTTTGCAAAAGTGAACAGTCCCCATTACATATGTTACCCAGAGAAATGGAGGAATATAATGTTGCTTTCAGAGTCTAAAATAATTATATTTCTCTCCTTAACTTTTTTTTTTTTCTTTTTTTGAATTGAGTCGATTTCATCAGCTACCCTTCACTGTTGTATTGCTGCCGTTTTATATACTGATTTTTATGTTATTATTGTTTTGCTTATCTTGCGTTTCATGGTTTGATTGTATTGGGAGCTTGGTGCCTGTTTGCTGGTTATAAGAGAGCACTTCTTAACAATAATAACCAAAGTACCTGATGCACAGGTATTCATTTCAGACTATTTTTTCAAATCAAACCTGGCGAAAGACTTCTCTTATGCGGACATAGAGGCAAGCGTTTATTATTCCTTTTATTTTTAATCAGTACATGCATTAATCTATGAAAGAGTTTCCTCTGCTTTCAGTGAGTGATGTAACTGCGAAGCATGTACATTTTTGAGCCTGTGATTTTTTCTATTATGTCTATTCATTTACAAATTTTTTGTGTCACTTGATGTTTTTGGTTAAATAACATCATGGTGAAAAGCCATAAAAGAATCTTCCTGAAAATTTTTTCCCGTCTTTAAACGATTATTTTATCCCTATTTGTATAATGGTGGCTGTTTGGTAATGTTATGCCAAAGTATCAATCAATCAACTACCCTCTGTAAATTGATCGCACATATGATATCATATCTTTTTTAATAAAGTCTGTGTCTTGTAAGAAAAAAGAATAGCTTTTACAAGTATCCAACTAGTGATTACATCTCTTCAGTATCTCATAATCTCATATCATTGATAGAAAGATGGAGAAATACGATTTAGCTCCACGAAAATAGAATTTGTTTGATACTGATTAGTATTGTTATAGTGTTCAAATGAGGCAGTTGCTTCTCTGTGTTCCTTGGTAACAAAATTTTCATATTTTGATTTTTTATTATTTTATTTTGATTGTTATTATATTTTATAGAGAGTATATGATATGGTTTTTTCTTAATAACATCAGGAAGTTGCTGTCTAGTTGATTCAAGTCTTCGTTACATTGTCAGCTTTCCCATTTTGCTTTCTTTTTGGAGGACATCTTGTTCTCTTCTTGGCAATTGATTATTATCAATAGAAAAAAGTTACTTTTTTTTTTTAAGTCTCGTTATGTTGCAAATGGTCGTGCTTACGGTGCGTTTAAACCCAACATTAATTAATGGAAAAAATAATTGAAGCCTTGTCGTATCTTGCTTAGAAATTATTGAAAGGAACTATGCTAGTAATGTTATTTCACTATATGGCAGAAAGTTTATGTTATGTCCTCTTAATAAAATTATTTTCCAGGTGGAGGTGATAATAGACAACTCCCTGGAAACACCTAAAGAGAATGTTCTTTCTAGATTTACCATAGAAGCCTCATTATATGATACTGAAGGCTGGTACAAGAATGATGCATCTGCTGATCTGATCTCGTCTAATGTGGCTAATATGAAGCTCAATATCTCATCTACTGCACGTCTAGGATTTCATGGTTATTTGCTTAGTGGAAAATTGGAGACGCCCAAGCTTTGGTCTGCAGAGCAAGTAAGGAAGCTAGGTTCATTCAAATTTTCTTAATTATGTTGTATTTTTGAAATTTTGGTACACTCTAAAACTAAACGGAATACATACTTTCTTGTGTATTAGAATTTGCAACTATGTAGATCATCAATGCATTCAGGAAAACTGTGCGATTGGAACTTAGAAGTAATTTCAACTTTGTGGATTGCAACTGGGAATATGCCAAACTAATGCACGCTTTTGACTGTGTTTGCTCTTTATTTCTTGTATGGCGTAATTTGCTTCTTTCTTAAAAAAATGATACTTGTTTGTGTAAAATATCATATAGCCGACTCTAATTAATTTGGGATTAAGGCTTGTATTTGTTGTTGTTGTTGTTTGTGTAAAATATCATATGTTCTCTAGAAGAATCAGATTCTTTTTGTTCCTATACACCAAGGGTGTTCCAGAAATTTACTTCCACTGCGTACTTGCAGTTATTTCTTTAGTTATTGGTGATTCTTCTATCTTGTGTTTCAGTGGATGGGAATGTCCAAGTTAATTTGCATATTATTGCAGACCAAGGATTGGCCGAGTTAAATAATGTAGGATTTGTACTTACGTAGTAATCTTATTCTCACCTGAATGGAGTTAAGGCAGAAGGATGAACGCAAGCATTGCATTTAGTAAATTTTTGGGTTGGAATCTTTGAGAAAAGAACATAGATGTGTTGACAAAAATAAATTCATAATGCACTTTTTTTTGGTTATCCTAAGACTTGGTACTGATGCAGACCTTATTCTACCTCAAAACACATTAGTCTCAATCTAATGTGTTTGACACTGAACATGAAAGAATGTTATGAGTTTGTGGTTATTTGCTACACTGTACTTACTGAGGGTGCAGAGTTGTCAATTGATTAGATATGAGCTTTTATGTGTTTTTATTTGCCTTGTTTTATTGCCTTCTGTGCCATTGGCGTTAATTTTTTAATTGGTAACAATAGATATGTGAAACTTGGAAGAGAAGGGAAGTGATTCATGCCTTTCTCATTGGGTTAAGAAGCTATACTATGAGATGTGATAGACTGTTAAGCATGACAATTAAGGTCTGTTTTATTGATGTGACATACTGATGATTCTTTTCTTCATACTCGTAGTGGAGTTTTCTGTTGTACGAGTTGATTTTTAGTACCAACTTTTTTTCTCTCATTTGTCCTATATTATAGAATACAATCTTATATCTCATCTTTTGTGTGTATTCTTCTATAGCCAAATTTGTACACTCTTGTTGTCATCCTCAAAGATGCATCTGGCAATGTAATTGATTGCGAATCGTGCATAGTAGGCATCCGGCAAGTGTCGAAGGCTCCTAAACAGCTGCTTGTAAATGGTCGTCCAATAATGATAAGAGGCGTCAACAGGCATGAACATCATCCTCGTTTGGGGAAGACAAACATAGAGTCCTGCATGATTAAGGTGAGTCCTAAATTGGTTTTCCTTGCTGATTAAATACATAGCCAAATTTATTATAGAGCTAGAGGTCATGGTTTGCTTTGACGTACTCAACACAAATAGTCACTTTTCTGTATTCAGGACTTGGTTCTAATGAAGCAAAACAATTTCAATGCCGTGAGAAACAGCCATTATCCCCAACATTCCCGTTGGTATGAGCTATGTGATCTATTTGGCATGTATATGATAGATGAAGCCAATATTGAGACGCACGGTTTCGATCATTCTGGTGATGTGAAGCATCCTACACTAGAACCTAGTTGGGCTAATGCAATGATGGACCGTGTCATAGGCATGGTGGAGAGAGATAAGAATCATGCTTGTATCATCTCATGGTCCTTAGGAAATGAATCTGGATATGGGCCTAATCATTCTGCCTCAGCTGGTATCAGTTTCCTCTTTATTGACTTGTATATGTGTGATGATTTTCCTCTCTTTGATTTTCTTTTCGAAACAAATGGTCTGCAAAACAGAACACTGTCATTAGCTTGGATTGTATTTCTTATTAGAAGTCAGAACTGTTCACTATTTATTCTTTTTGAGGATTTCAACAAATGTTATTGATTTTTAAATTTTTTCTTTATAATGTCTGCCATTTTTATGTTTGTAAACTTTTTAGGTTGGGTTCGAGGAAAGGATCCCTCTCGGTTGTTACACTACGAAGGAGGTGGATCCAGAACCTCATCTACAGATATTGTATGTCCCATGTACATGCGAGTTTGGGACATTGTAAAAATTGCAAATGATCCAGAGGAAAAGCGTCCACTTATATTATGCGAGTATGAGATTTGATGCTCAAGTTTCATTTTTTCCGTTGTTTTTCTTAAATAGATCACGGATGGCCTTGTCTATGCTCCTTGTGACTATTGAGGATTCTTATAGTTGAAAGATTGCAGATATTCTCATTCAATGGGAAACAGCAATGGTAATATACATGAATATTGGGAAGCGATTGATAACACATTTGGTCTTCAAGGCGGCTTTATCTGGGATTGGGTTGATCAGGTTGGGAATCTTTTCTTTCCTCATTGAATGTAGAAGCTTTATCAGCATCATGTCAAACATTGAACATCTTAGCATATTGCACAATATATGGCTAACATCAAAGAGTTGAGATAAAAAAGCATACAATGTTGCACATGGAGGCTATTATTTATTCTTGTTTCAAAATGTTCTTTTATTTCACCTTCTACTTCTTAGTTACTTTTGTTGAGGAAAGTGAACGGTATAAGATTTTGCATTGGATACAGGGATTACTGAAAGATACTGAAAAGGGTAAGCGTTGGGCATATGGAGGTGATTTTGGCGATGTTCCTAATGATTTGAACTTCTGTCTTAACGGCCTCATTTGGCCAGATCGAACTCCTCATCCTGCCCTGCATGGTAATTTTTTAACCTGTCATGTATATTGAGTACACCATAAATAATCAGCTGTCTTGTAATTCATCTCTTTATTGTTTTCAGAGGTCAAGTATTTGTATCAACCAATCAAGATTTCATTCTTGGAAGGCACCCTGAAGGTACTAGGTTTTATTTTTTATTTTATTTCTTGGCTGGAAACACGGTGAAGGTACTTCTTCCATATATTTTCAGCTTTTTCATATTGCTTGTATGTAATTCTTTACTTAATTTGACTTTGCAGATAACAAACACTCATTTTTTTGAAACAACAAAAGGAATGGAGTTCAGTTGGTCTGCTCATGGGGATGGATTTGAACTTGGATCTGGAATTTTATCCATTCCCGTGATTGAACCCCAGAATGGTTATGATATCGAATGGAAATCATGTCCATGGTATAATCTATGGTTCTCCTCATCTGCAGAGGAAACTTTTGTAACAATAACTGCTAAGCTTTTGCATTCAACGCTGTGGGTTGAAGCTGGTCATGTCATCTCATCTACACAAGTCCAGTTGCCTTCTAAAGGAAAGCTTGCTCGTCATGTAGGTGCTCTTAGTGTTAACTAAAATTTACAGATTTCCCTATATCAGTAACTGTGCGTAAATTGGCTTTGCATTTCAGGAGATCAAGACCAAAGATGGTACCCTTGTTACTGAAATTCTTAAGGATGTGATCAAAATAAGCGAGGAGAATTCGTGGGAGATAATACTGAATTCTCGAACTGGAATAATTGAAAGCTGGAAGGTACCGCCCTTTTCCTTTTCTGCACTAGATGTATGGCGTATTTTTTATATATATCATATTAATGGCAGTTATTTTTTGCTGTGACAGTCTCACATGTCTACTTTGCTTAGAAATCAAAATCCTTCAGAAAGTCATTTCTCATCTTTTTGTAGAATCAGTGTTGCTGTACAAATATATCATCATGTAGTTATCATCTTTCCATTCCCCAATTACTGGCATGCATGAATGGTTTCTGATAAGCCCCCAATCCGTTTCACCTATGCTCGATGTAAAAAAGAGCAAGGGCAGAAGAGTAATTGAGGGTACTCACCCTTGAGCTGCGTGTAAAGTTGTTAAGCTGGTCTGGGAAGGGCCGAATTTGTTGGGGGGGAGTTGTTCCTGCTAACTTTGAGTTTGATTCATTTTATTTCCAAATTTTGCCTTTGGTACTTATCAGTTTCATGCGTGTTGCTTGCTTTTAACATAGAATACTGCATGGAGTTGTGCATAAAAATATCAATTTTTTTTCTATATTTTGTTAATTCCGGTAAAGGCTTACTGTTTATGGGCTTTCTTTCTTAGTTTAAACTGTTCTGTAATAGTAATTTCTTTTTCATGTGGACTGTAGGGTTCCGCCAAAAAAAATTTATATTGTTAACGAACAGAAAACATAAAGAACTTTGGTAAATTGATATTTTTTTTTTGGTAATTTATTCTTTTCACATTTCAAGAGAAATAAAAAAATTTGTATATTGAAAATCACTAAATTGCTCGTTGTAGTTGTTTGACATCCTTTCTGTTCAGTCATTGTTAACAAACAGAAAACATAAAGAACTTTGGTAAAATGATATTTTTTTGTTTGTAATTTATTCTTTTTACACATTTTAAGAGAAATAAAAAATCTGTATATTGAAAATTACTTAATTGCATGTTGCAGTTGTTTGACATCCTTTCTGTTCAGTCTGCTATTCAAGTGAATTTATCAAGTATATTTGATGAACTCGAAACTTGTTTGTAGAATATAACAAAATGGCAATTCTGAAGACATGTTAAACAAATGATAGGTTGGAGGAGTTCTTGTGATGAATAAAGGTATATTCCCATGCTTCTGGCGAGCACCGACAGACAATGACAAAGGAGGAGGATCCAACAGTTACCTCTCATTGTGGAAAGCGTCTCGAATCGACAGCCTTCATTATATCACTGAGAGCTGCTCTGTACAAAATGTGACTGACCATCTTGTGCAAATAGCCGTTGTTTTCCTTGGTGTTCCAAGGGATGAGGAGGGTTTGTCCTCTGATTTGGGAAACAGAAAAGTCTTAATCAAAGTGGAGGTGGTTTACACAATAAACAGCTCTGGGGATGTCATTATGAATTGCAATGTAGTACCAAAAGCAGATCTTCCACCTTTGCCTCGAGTTGGGGTTGAGTTCCATTTGGAAAAGTCAGTTAACCAGATAAAATGGTATGGAAGAGGGCCGTTTGAATGCTATCCTGACAGAAAAGCTTCCGCCCATGTCGACGTCTACGAAAAGAATGTCGACGAGATGCACGTTCCTTACATTGTTCCTGGCGAATGTTCTGGGAGAGCAGATGTTAGATGGGCGACCTTTCTAAACAGAAATGGTTTTGGAATCTATGCTTCGATCTATGGTAGCTCTCCACCTATGCAAATGAGTGCAAGTTACTATTCAGCAGCAGAGCTTGATCAGGCAATACACAATGAAGATCTTGTCAAAGGAGACAACATTGAGGTAATTTTGCTCAGTTTCTTTCAAGGAATAAAAGTTTTACCAATTGCGTCCTAAATTTTGTCATGTGCAAGTTTGCCTCTAAATATTTATGCAAGTTTGCCTCTAAATATTTATATATTTATTTATTTATCTTTGAAAAGAAACTGAAACTTTATTGAATAACAAAAAGTTACAACAAAATAAGAGGACGAGGAGTCCTCAACACAGTTTGACCCTAAATATTTAATCGTAGCATTTAAGACCTTGTATTGGACAATCCTTGGCAATGTAGTGCAATTGATAACGGGCATCAATTGATGAATGACACAATTCGGGTCCAAAATGCTAAAATTTATCAAGTTAGCGTGTCATTCGTGTAAGCGATTAGGGCATTTCCGTTCATTAATTGACGTCCGTTAGCTGTTGGACCACAATTGCAACAAATCTGTATTAAATCTGGGTATGCTAATGCAATTTAACTCTTAAGTTCTCTTCACTTCATATTTTGAATTCATATGTTGTCACAGGTTCATCTTGACCACAAGCATATGGGGTTGGGTGGGGATGATAGTTGGTCCCCTTGTGTTCACAACAACTATCTGATTCCCGCCGTTCAGTATTCGTTCTCCATGAGGTTGTGTCCTGTAACTCCGGCCACCTCTGGCCAGGAAATTTACAAAACCCAGCTTTGGAGTTGAGTCAACTTTTGGTTTTTGATATTTGACACTGTTGTTGAAATGTAAGAATACAAGTTACATTTGAATTTTGTGATCATTAACCAAAGATGTTCTCCATCAGATCATTGGGTCTAGTTACAGAGATTAACTCTTGTTGATTCTGCCGTTTTATTCAGAATGACCTCGAAATTGTACTTTTCAAGTCACGGTTGGAATAAAGTGTGCTTGGCAAAAGTTGACTTCTGGTTCCTTTCAAATATATTATCCATATGTTCTTTTCTCGAATGGTTTGTACAAATCGTATTTTTCTATATGTATGTACATATTTTAAAATTGAGGATAGTTTAAAGGCCCGTTTGTTTCATATACTGAAACTCAAATCATTGATTCTGTTACAGTATATTTTGTTCACAAAAAATTTGAATTTCAAATGTCTGAATCAAGAATCATGGTTTGAATATACTTTCATGCAAACTCTGTTACTGATGGAGTTAAGCCATCTCTAATTTACTATGCAATTATCTTTGTTCATATCGTGTCACAAGTTAAGACTAGTTGTGTTAATATAAACGAGAAGCGACTTAAGCACCAAGTGACAGATCCATAAATTTATTGCAGTAGGAAAAAACACAATTTTTAAAATTAACCAGTAGTGATACTACAAATAAAACAACATTATAATATTTATTTGAAGTTAGTTGAACTCTACACAAAATATTTCCAAAGAGTTTTTATTAAAAATTTAGGACAATATTATAATACGAATATCAATAGTTATTAAATTTGTGACACTACTAAAGTACATGCTATTATTATTATTATATGAGGGGAATTTGGGTAGTAAAGAGCATAATATTTGTAAATTCATATTTTCCATACTACAAAATACTAAAATTACTTCAACCCTGTTCATTTCGCTGATTCGAGTTTAAAATTCGAATTGAGATGTGACTTTATGTGAGAGCTTTTTACTATAGCAAAAAAGTTAGATGTGATTGTTTGTGAGAGCTTTTTACTGTAGAAAAACTTGAATTCTAAACTCGAATTAGCGAAGTGAACGGGGCAGACTTGACTTAAAAACCCTATAATTTATGAAAGGAAAAAGTTCTCTCTCTCTCTCTCCTGTTCGTCCTCTCCTCGGTCTTTCTCTCCCATCTCCCATGAGCACCGGCTTGCTAGGAATCGTTGTCACCGTTGTGAGGCCATATCCTCTTCTCAGCAAACCGGCTCGAGTTTTTGCAAATCCATTGTTGGAAAAACTAGGTTACTATCACGAAAAACGTGAGATTAGTCAGACCTCGTGATCATGGATCTCGTCTTCTTTATGGTTGATCACAAACGAGAAAAAATGCATATATTAGTACATATATTAGTACATGAAAAAGGGTAAATAGATAAAAGAGAAATAAAATAGGAGAATGAAATTACTAATATATTTAAATTACATGTAAGGATTTACTCTGGGTTAGTGGGGCGACCCTAGTAATCCAAAGTAAATTTGTCAGTGCAAGCATTTAGCTTATACTAAGTTACCAGCCCGTGTTAGGTTAAGATATGACGCTGGTGATACAAGCACAAAATAACTTCAAAAAAAAAAAAAAAAAAAAAAAAAACCTTTGTACGTGGGGAGCATGATGTCTAAAGGAATAATCATTACTGTTTTTTTTTTTTTTTTTAGCCAATTTTGTACCTGTCTTTATATGTGGGATCAAACTTACAACCTCTTCATTATTAAAAAAAAAAAAAAAAAAAAAAAAAAAAAAAACTTGCGAATTTAACAGAACTTGATGCAAATTAAAGGTGGCAGAATTAAACAATGCAAGTCGACATCTATTAGATAGATAATCACCCAATATGAACGGAGCCAAATAGCATTGCTCAAAATACAGAATTCAAACAGAAGTTACAAACTACAGATCATATCATTAAAAAAAAATACAGTAAAGAAACTGAGTATCGATCTAACTCTCATATTTGAAGGTCAAACCAGAACCCTTGAGTTTTTCCTCATTGACCTTGCTTATTATGCGTTTTGCCAAGGAAGCGCTGAGATGATTAACCCAGTCGCCCACTCCTCCTTTCCTAAAGTAACTTTTATTCTCAAAGTTGGGCATGAACTTACCAGTTTTGTTAACTTCCAAGTCCTTCAAACTCTTCAAACTACACATCTCAGATATTTGCCGGACAACTCCTCCGCTCTCCTCTTCGTCGGAAAACCGAAACCCGACGAACTCCGCAATCCGCTTCACCTGAGCGACAGTGTCTTCCTTCATGTCTTCATACCTCAAAAACAACACCTTTTCCGGCTTCTCCAAGCTCTCCCTCCAATAACTCAACACATGGTCCCAAAAGGGCCCGAACGCCGCCTCTCCCTTCCAGAACTTGTCCACATATTCCTCCATGTTTGTCCACTGCGAGCGGGTGCGATCCTGAGTCCCGAAATGCCAAGAGGAGACAATCACGTCGAGAGGGTTTCGACAAATGTAGACGATTCGACATTTCGAGTTCTTGACGGATTCGGGCAAGGACGGGTAGGGAATGTGGGTGGAGAACAGCCGCGGGGATGGAATGCCGCTTAGATCGGGAACCTTGACAGCAGCACTACAAGGAAAAAAAAATAAAAAAAAAACTCGGGTTCATGATATATCCATGTTACCGGAAAATTTGTTATAATATGGTATGGAGAAACGCTTGCGTTACTTTTTTTTTTTTTTACAATATCTCATTTTTTGTTCAAATAGTAATTAAAATATTTTAAGAAAAACCTATTTTTGTGGATTGCATGATCAGCGAAGAGGGTGAACTCGAGGAAGGGCACGAGTTGATGCGGATTGGAAATGAGCAAAGGAGTGTTGGAAGGCGTGTAGCGGGCACGGTTGACGATCGAAAAAACGAGAGCTTTGAGCCAGGTGGTGCCGGATTTGGGCTTGGAGGCGAGAATGATGTCTTGGTCATGAGCTTGGAAGTGGGTTTGGAAGGAGATTACGTTGGGAACAATTTTGGAAGGACACCAAAAACCTTGGTACAAGGAAAGGGACGATAAACCTAAAAAGCCTTTGGTTTTGGGTAGTTGGGAAAGAACTACAACTTTTTGCTGATCATCAAACTCATTCTCATTGATCCTTGCTAATTCTACTGAGGACTGAATTGGATTCATATTATTATGATGACAGGTTAATTTGAAGGTCTTGACGGAGCTGCGTAAATAAATCATGAATTTAAAGAGTGATCATCAAACTTTTTATTATAGTGTTTTTTCTTATAAAAATTTAAATTTAACTTTTTGTGTTACCGTTTTTTCTTTTACATAAATTGGTTTTTCAACTCAAAGTTTTCAACTTGAACCCGCGAAACAAATAACTTGAATAAATCTATTACATTATATATATTGTGAAGGATGTGATCCACTAGTCGATATTATGAACTAACATAAGCTTTTCCAAGAAGGATACTTTCGAGGGGGTGCAGCATACAATATAATAATGGTGTTGTGATATTCTCTTGTGATTCGTTATCATGTCCTCATGCCTCATGAATGTGTTGGGCAGCGGGGATTGTTCTAAAGGGAAACAAATCTAACTAATATTCAATAGAGAAAAAACGGTAAGATCACAATTATTTTCACACCTTTTTATTGTGTTATTAGCATTATTTTAGAGAATTTCTTTTCACACCTTTGTATTGGGTTATTAGCATTATTTTAGAGAACAAACACCGATACCGATATTTAGGTATTTATTTAAAACTATATGTTTAACCGCATAAAACAAATGAACCTTAAGAGGGGTAATTTGGTAAAGGCAATTTCTTTGGTTTCTAAAAAAAATAAGATATGCTATTATTTACTGAGTTTTAAAAAACATACTATTAACTTTAAAAGCATATCTAAACTATGCTTTTTAGTGATTTTCCCAAATAATAAAAATAAAAAAGCAGGTTTTTCTCCGAAAGAAAAAGACTAAAAACCAGTCCATAATCAACTTTTTCTCCAAAACAAAAATATTAAGATACCTGTTCATAATTAAGTTTTTCTCTAAAATAAATGGATTAAAAAACCTGTTTAATCAGATGCATAAAAAAAAAAGAAACCAATGTACAAACTCAAATGTAAGAAAAAGAAATATTGAGAAAATATAAAGTAACTCTAATTTACATTTTATAGAGAAATAACAATTACCAAGCCTAGAACATTTGCAAATTGAGTGTTAGGGGTCAGCTTGAAGTTGAAGGTTGATTCTTCTAAATTAGTAGGCACCTTCATGGGAAGAATCGATATCTTGATGATACTGTTCATTTCCATCTTCATAATTTAAAATCCATCAATATCTTCATGGTTGGTGCTTTCTATATTGCTTTCTTTTCTCGCATTAAAAGGGCTTTTTTTCTTTTTAATTTTTTAAATAGAGGTTGATGGACGGTTTTTGCTATGTTTTGGTTCATTTATTGCTACCATGTTTGGTACGAGGATTCGTGTCATGGTTCGAATCATGATTCGTGACTCGCTACAGTGTTTTATCTCACAAAAAACACACATAAATTAAGAATAATTCTGAATCATGGTTCTAAATCCGTAAACCAAACTTAATAGTCCATCTTTTAAGGTTAAATTACAAGATTCTCAACATTTTCCATTTAAAATTTAACGGTAGATTAAATTTGAGACACTTGATTTAGGATTTAAGATTGAACAAATTTCAGTATAGAGATTAATTACACAGAGAAAAAAAAATTGAGGTATTTTCATGAATTTAACTCATAATTATAATAGACAAAAGGCTTGTAAAGTTGTTGCGGAGCTATATATATGTGTCGGCAACAGATATTTATAGCGGTTAAAGGCTATATATATATATATATATATGTATGGACTATATATATATATGTTGTAATCGTCGGCAGAGAGGACAATGCAGCAACACAGGGACATACATATATAAGTGCCAGTTCCTAGGTTGTGTGTTTCACGGCCGTATGTCGGCGCTAAATTCCAATGTCGTTTTCTATTCAATGATGACATCGAGTCTCTCTATTGGACTATAATTTCAGGACGCTTTATTCACATTATGACCTTCCTGTATCCATTTTCCAGATTTTTTTTTTCATTTCTATTATCGATTTATTTATTTTTATTTTTATTTTTTGTTTTTAGGGATTCTCTTATGGAATTTCGTCCTTCGAACGTTTTTTGTGTACATTTGTTTTTACTACATTTTATACTCAACCCAAGTCTGTCAACCAAAAATTTACTGTATCAAAGGCCTTTTCTATATAACAACAGCTTCTATTCTAAAAAAAAAAAAAAGTTTGTGGCACAATAACTTAAACCTCTTAAACATTAACACAGTGAAAAGTGTTAGTTTGCCGATCCATCCAAAAAACTTAAGTTATTAGGAGGTGGGTCAACAATAATTTTATACTTTAACACTCTCCCTCACGTGTGGGCTGGACAATGGGCAATTATGTGGGTAAATTAATTAAAAAGCCCAACACGTGAATATTTAAGCCCGAGATATATTAAAGACCCAACACGTGATGACAATTTAAATGAGGATAAAGAGTGCAATTACGGGGGTTTAAACTCAAGATCTCCCGCTCTAATACCATGTTAGTTTACCAATCCATCCCAAAAGCTTAAGCTATTAGGAGGTGGGCCAACAATAATTTTATACTTTAACAAAAAGAAAAAGAAAAAACTCAATTTAGTTTATTGTCAAATGAGGGAAAAGAAAAATACTTACATAGTTTTATTAGGATCTATGTTAAAAGGATGACAAAAACAGTATTCGATCCGTAATGATCTAATTGTCAAACATTTAGTTCACGGATTCAAAACTATAATTCAGAACTATTTTCGGTTTACGTATGTTTTTTAAAAAAAAATACTGTAACGAGTCACGAATCATGATTCGAACCAATGCATAAATCCTCATACCAAACACAAGTGACTCTATTTGACTATGATTTCTGAACACTTTGCCCACATCAATTTCCGATCTCCATTTTCCGCACTCCTTTTCTTTTTATTTCCGGATTTGGCCGCACTTACATTGTTTTTTCCCTAAACAATGTATACCCTATGGTTAGTTTAAATTTGAAGGGCTATTATATTAAAAATTTAAAGTTCAATGGCCGAAATATACCATGTTCAAAGTTTAGAAATTAACCGTGGAAATAATCCTAAAAAATAAAAGAAAGAAGAAAGGGCTTTTTAAGTACCAAACAAAAAACACTCGACCCTTTTTTTGAAACCAAAGTGAAAAGGGGAAGGAAATTAGCGACCTGCATGATCATATTTTTCATTTAGGAGGGTTTATTGCTACCATTTACTCTACTAAACTTTTTGCACATTCATTTGTATTAAATTTTGTTATTACAAAATTATCCACAAGCGAAATTACTTTGAGGAAAAAATCATTTAAAGAAAGTACCTTCACATACCTCACCCTAATAATTAAAAAAAAAAAGAATACTACTTTTTTTTAGGGGAAAAGAATACGCTTTTGTAAATACGATAAATATTAAATGTCCAATACGAATTAACTAATGATTAGAGAAGTGATCTAATGGAAACAATTAGAAAAATGTTAATCTTTTTTTTTTTCTCATTAAACGGTATTCTCTTTGGTAAATTCAATATAAAAATCGTTCTTAGGAAAGAGAGTCTACATTTTTCAAGCAAAAAAACAAAAAGGCAAATAAAGCTAACAAGATTTCAATTATCAAAAAGAACGCAAAAGGAACAAATAAAGCTATATATAAATATATGTATATATTACATATGTGTATGTCTGTAACTTCATAACTCCACTAGGACAATTATGCGTACAGAGAAATAAAACTTTGCACACACAGAATCTTAAGAGGAAATAATTGAAAAAACGATTATCCTTTCGTTTTACAACACATCTATGTCTGAAACTATATTGAACCCGAAACCATGCTTCTCAGTTCACACCGTTCGCGTGGATTCTTTTTTGGTGGTCAGTTACATGATTTTGTCATATGACACACATGTTATGTACTCCTCTAACCAACTTGAAAATTATATGTGAAGAGTGTTCACATTAATTAACACGAGAGCAACCAGTACATATAGTCTGTGCTTTGTATCTGGTTATCAAAACTAGTTCTAAGTTTTAACCCAAAAAACAAAAAAAAAACAAAAAAAACAAAAAACGAAAACGAAAAAAAAAAAAAAACGAGACGTTTGACTGTAATATATTTTCAGGAGAAAGAGAGAAATAGGCCAAGACTTGAGATGAATTAAAATTAATAGGCCAATAGTTTACATAAGTTAATAAATAGGCCAAATTACTGTTTTCGTCCATAACTTGTCTAGTTATAAACCATAACTTGATAAGTTATTGTTCATAATTGTTCATAACTTGTCTGACTATGAACCATAACTTAACAAGTTTGTCCATAACTTATCTGGTTATGAATCATAACTTGACAAGTTATGGCCTATTAATTTCTATAACTAAAAATTGGCCTATATACTTTCTTAAGCTTTTCATATTGGCTTATTTTCTACTATTTCCCTATATTTTCTTAAATAGAGGCCTTTGTCCATGTTCTAGTGTAGCAAATAAAAGAAACATGAGGAACTTATTTTCAAAACCGGAAAGTTGTTACCAACTTCCTTCTTAAGCAAAGTAGTTAATTTCAAATCAAGATTACGTCCCATTTATCCATATATATAATTTCTTGGTACGCATTTACTCTAGCTAAAGGCAAGAGAGTTAAACTTTGTTTCAGGATATAAATATTGTACACCATTTTACACATACTCGTTAAATTTAATTTTAAATACATGATTAAAAGAAGCTAGCCAAAGTCATGAGAAATGAAAAAAATAAAATAAAATAAAAAATAAATAAATAAAGAAGCATAATATACATATCACAGTGGGAAAATACAGCGGACCCCAATAGGCCTTGTAGGAAAACGAAAGAAACGTGAGCTATCGGCAAACCTTATTCAAATGCAACAACCATGACAAAGTTATGGCCAACAGATCACATTAACAACTCATGATCTTGTCCGTTTGTAACTCCTATACGCACAAATGCATGTGAACTTACACAAATTGCATGGTTTCAGCAACGTCTATATATAAGTATTGGTATTTTAAGCCAAATTATTTATCTCATCCACAACCCAAAACGACATATCTCCATTTGCATAAAATACTTGTATTGTTCGATCATGGGTGTCACTAGGGCCGAGGAAGAGCAGCTCACCGAGGAGTGCAAGCAGCTGCTTTCCTCTCTTCCCAAAGAGCGGGGCTGGCGAACTTCCCACCTCTACCAATACCAAGGCTTTTGGTGCCAGCCGGCGGAGATTCAGGCCATTGTCTCCTTCCAAAACCACTTCCAAGCCTATGACAATGACATTATATTGGCCACTATGCCAAAATCAGGCACCACTTGGCTCAAAGCCTTGGCTTTCGCGGTCGTGAATCGCGATCATTTCCCCGTCGACTCGGACAAGCACCCCTTGCTCACCTCCAATCCCCACGACCTTGTGCCTTTTTTGGAGTACAAAATCTATGCCAACAACCAAATTCCTGACCTTTCCAAGCTTAGCGCCGATGATCAGGACCGGCCTAGGCTTTTCGGCACCCACATTCCGTTTCCTTCGTTGGCGAATTCGGTGAAAAAGTCCAACTCATGTCGCGTTGTGTATCTTTGCAGAAACCCTTTCGACACCTTCATCTCGTCGTGGCATTTTATTGGCTCCATGTCTCCGTTTACACTAGAGGAAGCCTTTGAAATGTGTTGCAGAGGGGTTATCGGTTTCGGGCCATTCTGGGACCACATGTTGGGGTACTGGAAGGAGAGCTTAGCGAGGCCTGAAAATGTGTTGTTCTTGACATATGAAGATCTCAAAGAGGACGCCGTTTTCCACTTGAAGAGACTGGCCAAGTTCTTGGGGCGTCCTTTTTCTTTTGAGGAGGAAACAAGTGGATTGGTGGAGAAGATAGCAAAGCTTTGTAGTTTCGAGAATCTGAAGGGATTGGAGGTCAACAAGAAAGGGAAATCTATTAAGAACTTTGAGAATAACAAGTTGTTCAGAAAGGGAGAGGTGGGAGATTGGGTCAATTACTTGTCACCTCTAATGGTGGAGAAGATGTCCACAATTATGGAGGAAAAGTTGGGTGATTCCGGTTTGAAGTTCAAAGTAGTAATTTCCTAGTTTGGATAATGCTTCTTCTTTTTTTTTTATGCATGTGGAGAAAAAATATAAAATGTCCAGTTTCAAGTTCTTTTTTGTTTGTATTCCTTCTTATATGTTGAACTGTCGTCTCTTCCTAAGTTTATTATTTTCTTCCCTTCAAGAAAAAAAAAAAAAAAAGCCTGTAGAAAATTCCTTGGAACCTATTGGAAAAAAAACAGTCTATTTGGCACGACTCGCGCTTTCCACGATCGCATGTAGAATACCAGCGGAGACAGATATTAGTGGTTTGTGAGGTGTCAATAAAAAAGAATTAAATAAAAAATACTCTCTAAATTCTAGGGAATGTTTACTTTTGCTTCATCGATGCAGCAAGTAAAATACCTTTTGATTATTTCTTCGATTTAAGTTTAAATTTAAATTTTTTTATAGTAAAAAATTCTAAAAAACAGTCACATTTAATTTTTTTTACTACAATAAAAAACTCTCATATAAAGTCACATCTTAACTCGAATTAAAAATTTGAATAAAAAAACTAAACAGACCCGTACATCTATTAGTTTGAGACGAGTACTCATCATTCATATAGTGCGCCCACATATACTATAGTTTTCTCTTTGAGATGAGGACACATCATTTATGGACACCTCTGAACTTCTTGCTTTTGGCAATTTAGTCACTTAACTAGAAATTTTGACAATTTAGCCTATAAATTATGAATTTAGTTGCATTACAAATCCAATAATTAATGGTGTTAAAATATTGACTGTTTTTAAGTTGCAATTTGGTCTCTTAATTGAAGTGAAGATCAAAGAAAATACTAAAAAGACAAAAAAAATAAAAAATAAAAAATTCTTCTTTGACTCTCTCTCTAAAGCAATTTCTTCACAATTCTGTATTTCCCACCCAAGTTTTTATTTCTTTATTTATTTTTTCTTAAAATGGGTGATCGGACTTGGTGAACCCTTTATGGTTTTCTTCGGTGGGTTTGGATGTTTGGTCATGGAGGGATGCGTTGAACCATCGGAATTTGCCGAAGGAGTGGGGTGGAGATCTGAGCCTCTGACATCAAAATTCATGAGAAACATATGTTACATTTTGAAGATCGAGAGACAAAGTGTTACAACGGTCATAGTTTGAAAAAAGTTCCGTAATTAATCCTTTTGTTTTATTACAGAATTGTAAAACAAATTAATGAATAATTTCACAGATTTTCTCTAAGCTTTTGATTGAATAACGTCTAATTGTTCCATTTCCTAAGGATTTTCCCACAATTTTGATTTAAGCAATGGAATGTTCATGAGAAGTAGCGGTTTTTAAACTATACGGACGAATTAATGAATGACCCGCTAGCTTGTGGACATTACACCATTGTAAAAATATCTTATCGGACATTTTTTAAAGTCTAGAGAACCTCCTTCACAACTTCAAAAACTTCTCCAGAGCTATTTTTGTTCCAATTTTTAAAGCATTTTTTATTCTAGAAAGTCTATGGAAATTGGACTGGAAGAAGCAAATATATATATATATATATATATTAAGAAAATTGGTGAACTCGCTCATAGTTTTAAGATTTTTATATTTTATTTTTAATTAATACTCTTTTAAATAATATAGTTATTTAACTAAATAATATTTATCAAGTATTATTTGACTAAATAATAATTATCAAGTGCTATTTTTGTTCCAATTTTTAAAGCATTTTTTATTCTAGAAAGTCTATGGAAATTGGACTGGAAGAAGCAAATATATATATATATATTAAGAAAATTGGTGAACTCGCTCATAGTTTTAAGATTTTTATATTTTATTTTTAATTAATACTTTTTTAAATAATATAGTTATTTAACTAAATAATATTTATCAAGTATAAGAGATAAAACTCTAAAATTTATGCATTTTAAGGGGTACGTATGTGTCCCTTTTTTGCTCTTTTCTCGGAACTCCCAATTAACAAATAAGAGTTAAATATCTTTACCTTCATTTAAAAAAATAATTTCACAAATTAAAGTTTTAAAAAAGCCATTTTACTAATAAAGCTTTCCATTTAGGTTATTTTTAAAAACAACTCAGAAAAAAAAAATCCTTACAAATTTGACTAAAATCTGACATACAAAATCACACAGGCTAAGAGAAAAACAAAACAAAGTGACACGCAAAGACTAATTGAAGACAGAAGCTGTCGTTCATTTCTTTCATTCAAATTGCAGAGAGTCAAACTAGATACAAATCGACCAAATTACTAACAAGAGCTATACAAATTTTACTTAAATCTGATGAACAAAATCTCACGGAGGTTACAATTGATGCAAACAATTTGTCATTGCTGATCAGCATTTTCAACAACAGTCTCGTCACCTGCACATTTTTCCTCCTCATCAAGACGCAAACGTTTGTTGCTTTCTTCCGGCTCACAATCTCTACCACTTTCTCCCGCTTTCGACTTCGACGGTAGAGACGACAATGAAGAGTCGGATTTAGACTCCGCCAGCTGCGGCGGCGACTTAAGAACTGATGGTGGAGGTTGTCGTTCCGAGTCTTGGCTGCAGGGACTAGTCACTGATGACAAGGCTTGGGAAGAAGCCAAAGCACTTCCAGCTTTCTGTTGTTCCTCTAGGATCTTTTGCAAGTATTTTGCATGCTCCTCTATGCGCAACTGAAGCGCCCTTTGGACCTGCGTTGAAAATTTGAGACCATACTTCAAGGATATACAGAGAACTATTTTCTTTTTTTATTCTTTTTTTTTTTTTGTTTAAACAAAACAATGGCCGTGTTTAGAATTGATCCCGTTTTTATTTTTCACGTTTTTTTGAAAAAAAAAAGAATGAAAACGTTTCCAAAATGACGTTTGGCGCAATTAAGACAAAAAACGAAAATGAAAATGATTTTTTAGTTTAGTGTAAAATGAGACAGAAATGAAAAACGACTTTTAGTCGTTTTTCATTTTTTGTTTTCATTTTCTCCTCTCTCGAGCAGAGAGAGAAAGAGAGACATTAATGGGTTTTATAACACTGAAAACAATCTCTTGATAAAACTACCAAACGCATTTTTAAAAATGATTTCTGTCTGAGATTAAAAACGTTTTCATTTTCATTTTCATACAAAAAACAAAATCATTTTAGAACGAGTTCTAAATGCGCCCTATATAACTCGTACCTCAAGCTGTTCATGCAATTGTTTCTGAACTTCCATTTGCATTCTAAGAGCTTCAGTGATTTGGACGCTCCTACGACAAGAAATACAAGGAAATGGTTATATAAAACAAAAAAGATATAGGAACAAGTTATCTTTGCCGACTTATTATCTCAACATAATTGCTTGTTTCTTATCCTGGAAGAAACAATGAAGAGAGAGAGAGAGAGAGAATACTGACCCTTTTCTACGTCCATCACTTTCGTTGTTGATTGAGACTGTTTTCTTTTCTTCAGGGCTAGAAGGCTTCTTCTCTGGAGAGAGGCAAGAAAGAGCATAAGTATCAACTGATAAACAATAATACATTTGTTACAAACAAATTTGACAACCAGAGTTGACTAATACATCTGTTCTTATTGTTATTTATTATTTGCTAGTGGAATAGAAAACCCAAATCATTTTTAGTAAGATTAACTACCAGGCTTTTGGCCAGTTTTAACTGAAATCCAGACCCGAAAGCTCATCAATAAAAACAATTTTAGATTTTTTTAATAATCTCTTTTACGCAAACAATCTCCTGTCCTCATAAAACCAAATTACCAAATACAAAGTTTATTTGCTCCAGTTTTCGGTTGGAAACCGATGACTTGTTGTATCTGTGAAACTGGGTTAATTTTTGGTACGGGAATTCATTCATAGAAAAAAAAAATAAAAGTTGTAGATATTGAAAATAAGATTATATCTACCACACGAGTGAAATATTCTCATCACTTTTCATTTCTTAATTCTTTATTCTCACCTTCCTTTTTCTCTGGCATATACTTGGCAAGTCGGTATTTCTAGGAAAAGGACATGAAAGTAAAGGAAAAGAGTCAGAAGATTCGATGTAAACTCAACTGCCACACTCAAATCTCTTAGAAGTTATATACAAGTACCTGTAAATGGCTTTTCACGTGATAAATGGTTAGACCCTCAACCTTCATAAGCTTTAGTACGCCCTTTGGAGTGGCCTCTACATTTAGTAGTAAGGTAATAAGCCAGGTGTACAAATTGAAATAGGAAATATTTTCCAAAATAATGGTACTAATGTGTTTTTTTTTTTTTTTGGCTAATAAAAAGTAATGGTACTAACTTGAATACTCTGTGAACATAAACAATTGATCTGAAGGAGTACAAATTCAGTCCTCCTGATAAAAGAGACTGGGCAGAGTTTATGACCAAACACAAGTAGTTACTTACTTTCAGCTCCATAAAGCTTGCGGACAGCCTCTATAAATCGCTCATGGAGCTCGGGAGTCCAACGCATCCGTGGCTTATGCGCAGCGGCAGGCCCCGGAGATGGATGGATTGATAGAGAATCAATTGGCGGTGGTGCTGCAGAGCGATGACTCTGGTTGCACATCAATTCTATGGAAGGTTTTAACGGAGCTTGGGGCGTTTCATATATTTCCTGAATGAAGAAAAGTAAAGAAAAAATAAATGCAGATGTTGAGTGTAAACACAAACAGTAGTGAAAACAAGAAAAATACCACCAAAGTAGAAATTTTCGATTCATCCATTTCCATAGTAATAGTTTTCAGATGATATCTTCTTGTCCTCCGACAAATTTTTAAGGAATTCTCTATGTGCAAAAACGTTTTGTCACCAATAAGAACAGGGATAAATAATGATAATTCAATTGAGTGATGGATAAAATGAACTTACATCAACTCCGGGAGTTTCTCCATGGTCAGTGATGGCTATATCAAGGTCATCTGATAAGTAGTGCAGCTCCAGTTGCTCAGTGAGTGCTAGACTGTCACTTGCACAGGTCAGACTGTGAAACCTGTTCTGCGATGCATCCCCTGGTAAGTTAAGAAAGTCCTTCAGGAGATCCTCCGATTCGTCGTTGCCATATTCGTTATTGGTTATATCCCCACTAAAAATCAGTGGAGATTTGGTATCAACCGCAGAACTAGACTGGTTGCATGTTGGAGGTGGAAGGAATGGCAAATTCCCAAGCTGCCGATGGGTTTCTGAACTTGACGAAGATGACTGGTATAAGCTGGTACAGAATACAGAAGAGCGCGAAAACGCATTCTTAGCATGATGAGTATGAGAACCAGGAGATGCAGGACTGTTCAACTCGGACCCGTAGTAGAACTTAGGAGGATGCGTAGAAGCTGCTCCAATGAAAGGAGAACCAAGAGACTCTGTCCGTATGAAAGGCGAGGGGTGCGGAGATGAACATTCTCCGACCAGCAAACTCTTCCCTTCTGATCCAATACTCAAAAAGTCATGTACTGGTATACAATATGGCTGTGGAACCCCTTTTGAAGGCTCACTTTGTGTCACAGATACAATACTGTGACGGTTCATCATGTTGATGGAAATCCAACCGATCAAAGAGCGAAGGAATGTAGGCTTTGACTATGAATTAACATACAACTCCTGCTTATGTCTTGGTTCTCTCTGATCTTTCTTGTTTATGGTTTTTCACATAGAAGAAACAAAAAGTAACATTTTTACAATACAAATAAGCTTATTTTCACTAACAGGTAAGCCTCGACCTGTTATGCTAATTTTAATGGGAAGAAGAAACGAGACATCTGATTTTTTATTGGAGTTCCCATTGACTTGTGGATCTTAGAGACCTTTCTTTTTTAATGAAATAGATACATATACCTTAAGGTCGTCCTTTTCGCAGGTTTGAACAGAAAAATTTGAAATGGCATTTAAATTTTTCATGAGAACGCACTTGTAGTAAAAGGGTTTGAATTGTGGTTCAAACTTATGAAAAGAACGACTCAGTCTTTTCAGGTACAAGTCCTGCAAAACAGACAAACACTTGCATTAAAACTTTAAAACTACAATCTGTCCATTAAAAACTTGTTCGAAGCAAAATTGTAGCGGGCGGATAGCCCTAAGATCAGCAATCGAATTTTCATTAGCAATAATTCCAACACTATAGATAGTGAAAAGGAGATGAGAAATACAGCTATCTAATGCCAACTAATATGTCTCAATCCTCAACTTGATCATAAATCTGCATAGACAAATAAGTACTTCTGAGATTTCTCCCAACCTGCTTGTATCTTTCACGTGTATTTACAACTAGTAGTCCTAATAAATTGGTTAAGTATGTATGATTAAGCCCTAAAAACTGTCTTATCAACATTATCACATTCAAAACAACTAGTAACAACAATCTTTTTTTTGGGTATATTTTATCTACCAAGACCAGAAAAAAGTTTAAACGTAATCAAAGTTTACAGACTCAAGATCTAATTGCAAGTTTGGTTGTAGACATGGTCTAGTGATAACTCTACACCGGCTCCACCTTCAGGTAAAGAGTTCAAATCCACCCACCATTTTTTTTTTTTTCAAAAGCCAATTACAGCTTGTATATTCATACCTTGTTTATTTCACTTATTCGAGTTTAAAATTTAAATTTTATTATAATAAAAAACTCTCATATATAATTATATCTAATTTTTTTACTATAATAAATAACACTCCAATCAAATCACATCTCAACTTAAATTAAAAATTTAAATCAGCGAACTAAACGGATATCAGAAACCCAGTTTCTAAAACCATATAAAATTTTGAGCTTAAGAATCAAAATTAATTGCATCATGAAAATGCTCTGGAAATCCACAGAAGCTTAAAACACATAACAGAAGCATAAAACATTTCATCAAATAATATTTTCCAAAACGGGTGAGTGTTTACTCTGTCATCTTCTTTCTCAGAGAAAAAACAGAAAAGGCAAGTTTGAGCCAACATTACCCAGTTTCAGAAGTCTTGGGAAATCCCCAACTCCCTCAAGTTCAAAAAAAAAAAAGAAAAAAAAAAAACAGAGAGAGAGAGAAATTATGGGGAAAAAAAATCAAGAAGCAGAAACTGCTAATACTAACCTATTGAGAAGGCAGGAGAGAGAGGAAAATGCTTTGCTCTGGCTGCTCTCAGCCATGAAGGGAATAGAGTTGGGATTGGAATTTGGTTTATGGCTGCGTCAAATGATTGATTGTGTTTTGGCAAAATGACCAATGAGAACAAAGTGACTCAAATCCAACTAGTAGAAAATGGAAACGTTTCTTTTGAGTAAGATGACGATTGCATTTGCAAAAATGGATGCGGTTCATGTCCCCCACGCGCCTTCCACCGCGATTGTCGATGCACGCTCCAATGGCCTGCTAAATTTTGGAATTAGCTGGCCTGTCATTTGTCACTTGTCACGTACGTCGTGTGGGGGCTCAATTCATTTGCCTAATTCTCTTCCGTCGTCACCCCAAATTACTCTTCTTCACTAATTCGCCCTACTAATTTGGGAGTAGTGGAGCTCTATTAGTGGAAATTATGTATTTATTATTAAATTATTTTTTTAACTCTCAGATCTATAATAAAAATATTTTTGTGTGTTTTATTATAAATTTTCAATAAAATCTACATAGTTTTAACTGTTAAAAAATCAATCATAATACTTAAAATTAACGGGCGCGTTTAGAACTCGTTTTAAAATGATTTTTTTCTATAAAAATGAAAATGAAAACGTTTTTAATCTCAAACATAAATTATTTTTAAAAATATGTTTGGTAGCTTTATTTAGAGATTATTTTCAGTATAAAAAACCCATTAATATATATATATATATCTCTGTTTCCCTGCTCGAGAGAGGAGAAAACGAAAACAAAAAATGAAAAACGACTAAAAGTCACTTTTCATTTCTCTCTCATTTTATACTAAACCAAAAAATTATTTTTATTTTTATTTTTTGTCTTTATTGCACCAAATGTTGTTTTAGAAACGTTTTCATTTTTTTTTCTTGAAAAATGTAAAAAATAAAAACGAGATAAATCTCAAATACGGCCAACATTTCTCGCTAATGGAGCAAAATAACATCATTCAGATTCCCTAATAATTTGTATTTATGTAAATGCAATTTTTTATTTACAATTTTCTCTAGTGTGGTCTCTAAAGTTAGTTTTTGATCGATGAATTTAGTTAAATTCACATTAAATTAAAATAATATGTAAAAACACTCAATTTTTAATATAAATTAAACGACTAAAAATAAAAAATTATAAGTATGTTTATTTTTTATGCTTTTATTAGAGAAACTCTCTTTTTTATTTTGCGTTGGTTTTTTATTCTCTCTCTGTTAATCATTATAGGCTAAACTAAAGATAATTCAATTCAACAGTGTGTAATTAATACGAATGAAGTTCGTGGGGTCCTTTTCTTCATCGTCTATTTCTGTCCTCACAATCTAATATTGACGTCTTGGAAGTGCTTTATAGTCCGTTTTCTGCTACTGCAGAAATGAACGACAAAACCAATGAAAAATCTCTTCATTTTGTTGATTCGAGTTTTCAATTTGAGTTGAGATGTTATTTTATGTGATAATTTTTTACTGTAATAAAAAAATTAAATGTGATTGTTTCTGAGAACTTTTTACTGTAACAAAATTAGAATTCTAAACTCGAATCAGCGAAATGAACATGTCGAAAACACACAGCCACAAACTCTAATACATACAAAATTACAAATATATAAATAAAAATAAATAAACATGCATATGTTTATGTGACAATCATTCCGTCTTTGTTCTTCTAAGCATTTTCATTTATGATAATGCTAATTAGTGAGTACGGGTTATTTTCACTAATAATGTTTCAGTCAACCAAATACTTTCATCGTTTGTGTATATATTAGTGGATTGTATATTCGGACTTAACAATATTTGATATAAAAAATCTTATCAATATATACATATATTTGACATCAAAAGGGTATGGTTCAAAAATTGTATAATGGAAACAATTTCATGAATCGTAAGTTTAATGCACACTAGAAAAGAAATGAAATTATTTCCCATTATACTGTCAAATCCTTATTCTTATTACTTATTTTATTAGAGTACTAATGACTATAAGCGAATAGTCTTGCACTATGAATCTCTATTAACATGGTTAATTATTATTATTTAGCTTTTGAAAGGAATCACCCGATCAATATTATATGCATTCAGTTGTATAATATAAATGGCTCGCTCCAACTTGTATTTCTTTGCTCATGAATCAAATGGTCTCGTTCATTTCACCGATTTGAGTTTTCAATTTTAGGTTTTTACAGTAAAAAGCTCTCAGAAAATGTTACATCTAACTTTTTCTGCTACAGTAAAAAACTCTTAAAAAATATCACATCTCAGCTCGAATTAAAAACTCGAATCTGCGAAGTGAACGAGGCCCAGTGTTCGCTGCTTGCTTGCTATGTTTACTTAAAAACATTTATTTTTAGACTTGCCAAAGCATCAATCACACACAATTTCTTGTTTCTTTCTTTCTTTCTTTTTTTTTAGTTGTGTTAAAAAAAAAAAAAAAAAAAAAACGGAGACATTCAACGTTAGTTTGCAACTAGCAATTAAGAAAAAGAAAAAATTCCCAATTGTTTCTTCGTGTTCGTATAACCTTTGATGCTCCATTGATAGATCGGTCCCACATGGTTGAACCGCTAAACCACGCATTTGGTAATTATAATAAAGATATTAATGGAAATGATTATCAGAGACAAGGGGTGGGCCTCTCTTTAGTCTTATTCATTATTGAAGAATGAATTCTAAAATATATGAATTCCTCTTACTTTCAGTTTAATCTTATCCTCTAAAAAAAAATAAAAAAAGAAAAAAAAAGAGTATAATTTACTAGTACGTAAACACTCATTATTAGTCTAGATTACTATCATACAAAATTTGTGTTCTGGAAACGTCTATGGAAATCTCAGGGATATTATGGATCTAGGCAATCGGCCAAAAACATTGTTCTTTTGATTATTTGACTTTTATTTTTTCAATTATTTTGTTTTATTTTGTATTCTGTTAATTTTTCCTTTGCCATTATCAACATTAGTAGTCAAGTAACTCGTTCCTGATAGTACCACCCTGCAATATCCAAATGTAAGTAGATTATACATTATCGATATAATTATTTGCCATAATCACAAAGAAATCTTTATCCTTATTTTTTATACTTAGGGGAAAGAATTTACTTTACTTTGTAATGACAATAAGTTCAGTTTCTAATCGTTAAATTTAATCAAAATTACAATATATTAAAAAAGTATGTAAAATTGATTGTTTCTCATATAAAATTGATGATTGAGAGTAGAAAACTATGAGTAACTCTTTTTCTTTTCTTTTTTTCTTATGATCCTAAGAGAGAAACTATTTTTTATAAGACTGATCCAACTAAAAAAACAGAGATTTATCTAAGATTAACTTAATCCAATCCCCAATCAAACTTTAATATTCTATTTTTAACGAGCCCTTCAATCTAGCAATAGCATGTGCAACACCATGGTTCCCATATAGACTAGGTTAAAAGTTGAACTAGTATACTATAATTGATTGTGAGACCTTATTCGCTTTGCGGATTCGAGTTGAGATGTAATATTTTTTTAGAGCTTTTAACTGTAGTAGAAAATGTTAGATGTGACATTTTTTGAGAGCTTTTAATTGTAAAAACTTAAAATTAAAAACTCAAATCGGTGAAATGAACGAGGCCTGAATTTTCCCTTTTAAAAACCAAAAAAAAAAAAATGATTTTGAATTCATCTCTTCTTTCTTGCGAATGAAGTTGTCAACTGATCTTGATGAATGATTAAAGTTCAAGTCAGTAATATTAAAAAAATTTCTTTGGTTATGCAAAGCGTAAGTTGGTTACAATTAAAGCCACCTAGCTAGATTAATTGTTTTAAGCACCAGGCTTCGTTTGTTGTACTATTAAAATCACAATTTAAACTTTTTACTATAATATTTTATTTCACAGAAATTTAAATTTAACTTTTTCTGTTTAGTATTTTCTCTCATATAAATTTTCTTTCAACTCAAATTCTCAACTCGAATGAGCGAAACGAACAGGGTTTCAACGGTCTCTTGAGCACCTGAGGGTTTCAATGGTACGTTTTATTTTTTTGTCTTTTTTTTTCAATTTTAAGTTTGGTTTAACTCATAATGTATAACTTTGATTTGATTATTGACACCTCTTTGATAGACACTGAAAAAATGAACTATCGAAAAGGGGTTATTTTTGGAGTTATTTTTGTTTTTGTTTGTCACATTTTTTGAGAAAGAAAAAATGAAAACGAAAAAGAAATGGCATTTGACACAATTAAAAATAAAAAACATAAATGAAGGGCCTGTTTGGTAGCATTTTCTTTTCGTTTCTCACATTTTTCGATGCAAAAAATTGAAAACGGAGATAAAAAACGTGTTTGGCAAAATTTGTGTCAGAAAACAAAAATGAAAATGGCTTTGTCGTTTTCCGGAATTTTGAAAACGGAAAAAAGCCGTTTTCGTTTTCTTGTTTTCATTTTCGGTTTCTTCTTCTTCTTTCTTCCTCGATCATCCTCCCGTTTCTGCTTCTTCCGATTTTTTCTTCCTCTTCAGTCGAGCTCTTCTTTCTCCTTCCCTTCCATTCTTCAGCCGAGATCTTCTTCCCGGCCGAGCCCCGGCGTTCTTCTCGCCCAAGAGTCGCGCCGTTTGCTTCTCACCGGAGCACCTCCGTTCGCCTAAGCTCCTCCGGTCTCTTGTTGCCCAATCTGCGCCGTTCTCTGTTTTCTCACCGAGGTATGCCCCTAGCCAAAAATATTTGAACGTGTTTGATTTTTCCGATCGATTTGGTCGAGCAATTTGTTTTTTTTATTTTTTTTATTTTTATTTTCCGGTTGTCTCGCCGTTTGATTTGCTTATTCAACCAAATCGGTTGCTGTTTTCCGTTTGATTTGGTGTTTCTTTTCTACCCTATGCTTGATCTGATCTGGTTTTTTTCTGTTTTTTTTTCTTTTTCCCCTGGAGGCCCCCGTTGGGGCTAATACAACCCCTGGGGGCCTCCCATTGGGGCTGTATCAGCCCCTGGGAGGCCCCCCCGTTGGGGCTGAATCAGCCCCTGGGGGCCTTCCTTTGGGGCTGGCCCGGGAGGCCCCCAATGGGAGCTGATTGTCAGCTCTGATGGGGGCAGAAAAGCAGCCCCCATGGGGGC